TAACGTGTGTGTAACGTGTGTGTATTGTGTGTACGTGTGTGTAACGTGTGTGTACCGTGTGTGTAACGTGTGTGTAGCTTGTGTGTACCGTGTGTGTGTAACGTGTGTGTAGCTTGTGTGTAACGTGTGTGTAACGTGTGTGTAACGTGTGTGTACCGTGTGTGTACCGTGTGTGTAGCTTGTGTGTAACATGTGTGTACCGTGTGTGTAACGTGTGTGTAGCTTGTGTGTAACGTGTGTGTAGCTTGTGTGTAACGTGTGTGTATTGTGTGTGTAACGTGTGTGTAACGTGTGTGTACCGTGTGTGTAACGTGTGTGTAGCTTGTGTGTAGCTTGTGTGCGACAGACGTAAAAACAAAGCATGGTTCTCTCTTGACTCCAGACCTCAGAGCAATCCATTTGTCCGAGTATCACCTCCGCATTTGCCCCGTCCAATCAGCGTGATTAATAATACTTCAGTCGAGAGCTCCGCAATCACATGACCAGAGCATGACACACGCACGCACACACACACACACACTGACATATACACACACACACACGCTGACACACACACACACACACACACACGCTGGGGTGAGGGGGGGTCTATTTCCCCAAAGACATGCCCAGTGACAGCTCCATAAACTGGCCATTCATCAAAGTGTCCCCCCCAGTGTACGCGCATACAAAGAGGTATGAGACACACACACAGACGCACACACACACACACACACACACACACACAGACACACACACAGACACAGACACACAACACAGACACACACACACACACACACACACACACACATATTTATTTTGCTTAATCTTAATTTTTTTGAGATATTTTCCTTGTTCCATTGATCCTCGGACCATGTGACAGACCCTCAGACCATGTGACACACCCTCAGACCATGTGACACACCCTCAGACCATGTGACACACCCTCAGACCATGTGACACACTCTCAGACCATGTGACAGACCCTCAGACCATGTGACACACCCTCAGACCATGTGACACACCCTCAGACCATGTGACACACCCTCAGACCATGTGTCAGACCCTCAGACCATGTGACACACCCTCATACCATGTGACAGACCCTCAGACCATGTGACACACCCTCAGACCATGTGACACACCCTCAGACCATGTGACAGACCCTCAGACCATGTGACACACCCTCAGACCATGTGACAGACCCTCAGACCATGTGACGCACCCTCAGACCATGTGACACACCCTCAGACCATGTAACACACCCTCGGACCATGTGACACAGACTCTCAGACCATGTGACACGCCCTCAGACCATGTGACACAGACTCTCAGACCATGTGACACACCCTCAGACCATGTGTCAGACCCTCAGACCATGTGACACACCCTCATACCATGTGACAGACCCTCAGACCATGTGACACACCCTCAGACCATGTGACACACCCTCAGACCATGTGACAGACCCTCAGACCATGTGACGCACCCTCAGACCATGTGACACACCCTCAGACCATGTGTCAGACCCTCAGACCATGTAACACACCCTCGGACCATGTGACACAGACTCTCAGACCATGTGACACGCCCTCAGACCATGTGACACAGACTCTCAGACCATGTGACACAGCCTCGAACCATGTGACACACCCTCAGACCATGTGACACAGACTCTCAGACCATGTGACACAGACTCTCAGACCATGTGACACACCCTCAGACCATGTGACAGACCCTCAGACCATGTGACACACCCTCAGACCATGTGTCAGACCCTCAGACCATGTGACACACCCTCAGACCATGTGACACACCCTCATTATAATAATCACAGTTCATTAAAACGTCCTTCAGTTGTTGCAGAAACTGTTTGAACCCCGATCTGAACATTGTCAGAGAAGAAGAGTCTGTCTCACATTTTCAGGAAGATTATTATTTTTATTTCTTTTGGGACCTCTGTGGATTTCTGGGAAGTTAACATTCTCTACGTCTGTGATCACAGTTAAAGGAGACATTAGTGTCTGTGATCATGGTTAAAGGAGACATTAGTGTCTGTGATCACAGTTAAAGGAGACATTAGTGTCTGTGATCACAGTTAAAGGAGACATTAGTGTCTGTGATCACAGTTAAAGGAGACATTAGTGTCTGTGATCACAGTTAAAGGAGACATTAGTGTCTGTGATCATGGTTAAAGGAGACATTAGTGTCTGTGATCACAGTTAAAGGAGACATTAGTGTCTGTGATCATGGTTAAAGGAGACATTAGTGTCTGTGATCATGGTTAAAGGAGACATTAGTGTCTGTGATCACAGTTAAAGGAGACATTAGTGTCTGTGATCATGGTTAAAGGAGACATTAGTGTCTGTGATCATGGTTAAAGGAGACATTAGTGTCTGTGATCATGGTTAAAGGAGACATTAGTGTCTGTGATAACAGTTAAAGGAGACATTAGTGTCTGTGATCACAGTTAAAGGAGACATTAGTGTCTGTGATAACAGTTAAAGGAGACATTAGTGTCTGTGATCACAGTTAAAGGAGACATTAGTGTCTGTGATCATGGTTAAAGGAGACATTAGTGTCTGTGATCATGGTTAAAGGAGACATTAGTGTCTGTGATCATGGTTAAAGGAGACATTAGTGTCTGTGATCATGGTTAAAGGAGACATTAGTGTCTGTGATCATGGTTAAAGGAGACATTAGTGTCTGTGATAACAGTTAAAGGAGACATTAGTGTCTGTGATCACAGTTAAAGGAGACATTAGTGTCTGTGATAACAGTTAAAGGAGACATTAGTGTCTGTGATCATGGTTAAAGGAGACATTAGTGTCTGTGATCATGGTTAAAGGAGACATTAGTGTCTGTGATCATGGTTAAAGGAGACATTAGTGTCTGTGATCATGGTTAAAGGAGACATTAGTGTCTGTGATCACAGTTAAAGGAGACATTAGTGTCTGTGATAACAGTTAAAGGAGACATTAGTGTCTGTGATCACAGTTAAAGGAGACATTAGTGTCTGTGATCACAGTTAAAGGAGACATTAGTGTCTGTGATAACAGTTAAAGGAGACATTAGTGTCTGTGATCATGGTTAAAGGAGACATTAGTGTCTGTGATCATGGTTAAAGGAGACATTAGTGTCTGTGATCACAGTTAAAGGAGACATTAGTGTCTGTGATCACAGTTAAAGGAGACATTAGTGTCTGTGATAACAGTTAAAGGAGACATTAGTGTCTGTGATCATGGTTAAAGGAGACATTAGTGTCTGTGATCACAGTTAAAGGAGACATTAGTGTCTGTGATAACAGTTAAAGGAGACATTAGTGTCTGTGATCATGGTTAAAGGAGACATTAGTGTCTGTGATCACAGTTAAAGGAGACATTAGTGTCTGTGATAACAGTTAAAGGAGACATTAGTGTCTGTGATCATGGTTAAAGGAGACATTAGTGTCTGTGATAACAGTTAAAGGAGACATTAGTGTCTGTGATAACAGTTAAAGGAGACATTAGTGTCTGTGATCATGGTTAAAGGAGACATTAGTGTCTGTGATCACGGTTAAAGGAGACATTAGTGTCTGTGATAACAGTTAAAGGAGACATTAGTGTCTGTGATAACAGTTAAAGGAGACATTAGTGTCTGTGATAACAGTTAAAGGAGACATTAGTGTCTGTGATAACAGTTAAAGGAGACATTAGTGTCTGTGATCATGGTTAAAGGAGACATTAGTGTCTGTGATAACAGTTAAAGGAGACATTAGTGTCTGTGATAACAGTTAAAGGAGACATTAGTGTCTGTGATAACAGTTAAAGGAGACATTAGTGTCTGTGATCATGGTTAAAGGAGACATTAGTGTCTGTGATAACAGTTAAAGGAGACATTAGTGTCTGTGATCACGGTTAAAGGAGACATTAGTGTCTGTGATAACAGTTAAAGGAGACATTAGTGTCTGTGATCACAGTTAAAGGAGACATTAGTGTCTGTGATAACAGTTAAAGGAGACATTAGTGTCTGTGATAACAGTTAAAGGAGACATTAGTGTCTGTGATAACAGTTAAAGGAGACATTAGTGTCTGTGATAACAGTTAAAGGAGACATTAGTGTCTGTGATCATGGTTAAAGGAGACATTAGTGTCTGTGATAACAGTTAAAGGAGACATTAGTGTCTGTGATCACGGTTAAAGGAGACATTAGTGTCTGTGATAACAGTTAAAGGAGACATTAGTGTCTGTGATAACAGTTAAAGGAGACATTAGTGTCTGTGATCATGGTTAAAGGAGACATTAGTGTCTGTGATCATGGTTAAAGGAGACATTAGTGTCTGTGATTACGGTTAAAGGAGACATTAGTGTCTGTGATAACAGTTAAAGGAGACATTAGTGTCTGTGATCACGGTTAAAGGAGACATTAGTGTCTGTGATCACGGTTAAAGGAGACATTAGTGTCTGTGATCATGGTTAAAGGAGACATTAGTGTCTGTGATCATGGTTAAAGGAGACATTAGTGTCTGTGATCACGGTTAAAGGAGACATTAGTGTCTGTGATCACGGTTAAAGGAGACATTAGTGTCTGTGATAACAGTTAAAGGAGACATTAGTGTCTGTGATAACAGTTAAAGGAGACATTAGTTTCTGTGATTCCAGTGTTTTGTGGACGACGGGACTCACTTCTCTATTGTCACTGTTTCATTTGAGGCTGCTTCTGATGAAGTAGAAACATGTTTGATTTTCAGAGTTTTTAGTCCGTGATGTCGGGCCCGGACTATTCTCTAACTGAAAAGTTTGGACACCCCTGCCTTAGAGCCGCTGGTGCAAACGGAGCAGAGGCCGACGTCCATGAACGTGTCTGAATGTCATTTATCCGTCTCTTTAGTGAGAATCTATTTCAGGCTGGACCCATTATGACGGACACACAACTCCTGAGTGCGAGGCAACACAGGAACACAACCACCACACGCTTAAAAGCTGCGGAAAGTCGATTCCGTCGCATTTAATAGAATCCTGGAGCAAAAACCCAGGTCGTGGATGTGGAGAGGACAAAGGCCCCGGCCCCTGCCTCGCTCTATTGTGGAGCGTGGACGTGCGGCCCCTGCTGCGGAGGCGGGGGCCGGTCAATAAGAATAATACCAGATATATTCATAGACCAGAGGAGGCACCAGGTGAGCCTCCTCTGAGCCTCCTCTTTTCAGGACTCTAAAGTCAATCAAGTCTAAATCATCATTCTCTCCAAACACGGTGGTGATAAACTACTGTAGCCACAGCTGCCCTGGGGCACACTGACAGAAGCGAGGCCCCTCCCACCACCAACCATTCTCACACACACCAGACTCATTCTAATGTGGGGGAAGTGTCTTGCCTAAGGACACAACCACAGTTTGGCACTTTACAGCCGCAGCCGCCCCACTGTGGCACCTGCTGTTCCCAGAGGTCTCCCATCACAGCACTAACCAGGTCCTGTCCTGCTTAGCTTCAGAGGTCTGACAGGATCTGGCTTTTCACAGGCATTAGCTCCATATTCATGACATCTGGAACAAACTCATGCCCCCGCCCCTTCTGCCTCAAAGCTCCGAGATAAACAAGTGAGAGATGTTTTAACTCCTGGTTTTGTCTTTTGTGCTTTGAAAGTTACGGACCCCAGCTTTAAACGCCCAGCAGCTGATGGCTCTCAAAGGCACTTGCTCCGTGTGTTTTCATTGGAGCTCCAGGGTCAGGACCAGGATAACCCCCACATCCTGCTCCTGACCCCGGCTGTATCCGAATGTCCACACTATACCCTATTCACTCACTCACTATATAGTTCGGGACTATATAGCGACTGAGTGAGTGAGTCAGTGCACTCATTCTGTTGGCGATTCGGACACATGCACACTATTTTTAGCCGCGGCCCACATCACACCCCTGTCACATGTCATTGGATCAATATAATTTTATATATAAATAAAAGTATATTAAAATATCAATATTTGTCTAATATACATGTATAAAATGTTTTTACAATTTATATTCATATTTATGAATTTTGGTTGACGTCTTTCATATTCCCGCCACCTGACCGGCTCCTCTAACACCGGTGAAATGGCACCTCCACTGAATTTTGCGGTGTTTTTCATAACTATTATACAAGTTATCATAATGCGAATTAAAAACCGCCGAACAGAGAGAAGGCGAAGACAGGCGATGAGGCGGAGGAGGAGAATGGCTCTTCTTTCATTAGCAAGGCGTCGTGTAAGTATTGTATTCGTCCTTTGTCTATATAGCATTAGCACCATCTACTGGGTAAATTATAGTACTTTTGGTGTACTTACTAATTAAAAATACTATTCTCAGTCAATGAGAAACACATTAGTCATATACATTTAGACATATTTCAACAAGAAAACACATTGTATAGACACACTCACTTAAAATGCAAGAACATTAAAATATTTTATTGGTTGAAAGAACACAAAACCATAGCAAGGGAAATGGATTAAGTACTCATTTTTTCTAAATGAAAAATGAGTACTTAATCATTAAACAATAATAGAATTTGCTTGGCCATGGGGCACAGGGCTTCTGTGATTTTTTTGTGTGTTATTAGGTGCGAGTGATGTAGTGAGGGTTTCTACTTCAGTTGTCTCAGGGCAGCTCCAGCTCCCTGCAACACACAATACATTTGGCAAAATCCAGTGGCACCGCGTACCGTGTTGTCGCCAGGGCATTGGACATGCCCCAGTCCACAGTCCACGATGTGATCCACAGGGTGGCCAACCAGATCCTTCAAATGCGTGGCCAAATAATTCATTTCCCTTCCCTGGAGGAACTTCCCCAAGTTGCAGCTGGGTTTCAGTTGCTGGCTGGATCAGCTGCTCTCAATAATGTTGTGGGGAGCATCGACGGCTGCCACATTAGAATAAAGCCCCTTCAAAAAAATGCACAGTGTTATTTTAACAGGAAATTGTTTTATTCCATTCAAATGCAGGCTGTGTGTAATCACCGTGGCTTATTTATTGATTTGTTTGTTGGCTACCCCGGATCTGTGCACGATTCTCGAGTGCTTAAAAACAGCCCCCTCTACGTCCACCGGCTCTATCCCCCAAATGGACACGTCTTCCTTGGGGATGGGGGTTACCCTTGCCTCCGTCAGCCCATCACACTCCTCCCTCCATACAGAGAGCCTGTTTGGAGCCCAGTGGAAGCCCGCTTCAACCGGCACCATGCACGGGCACGATCTGTAACAGAAAGAGCGTTTGGCATGATGAAGGCAAGATGGCGATCCATTTTTTTCAAGGCACTGGAAGTCCAACCCACCTTTGCAGTCCAGGTGACTGCCTGTTGCGCCATCCCCACTCTGGGAGCCAGTGGAAGAGGAGCCAGGGCCTGATGATGAGCAGGACCAGCATCAGCAGCACCAGCCTGATCAGCAGTGTGGACAGGAGCTGTGTGGACAGGAGCTGTGTGGACAGGAGCTGTGTGGACAGGAGCTGTGTGGACAGGAGCTGCGTGGACAGGAGCTGCGTGGACAGGAGCTGTGTGGACAGGAGCTGCGTGGACAGGAGCTGTGTGGACAGGAGCTGTGTGGACAGGAGCTGTGTGGACAGGAGCTGTGTGGACAGGAGCTGTGTGGACAGGAGCTGCGTGGACAGGAGCTGTGTGGACAGGAGCTGTGTGGACAGGAGCTGTGTGGACAGGAGCTGTGTGGACAGGAGCAGTGTGGACGGATGGCAGCAGCACTTTCCGCCCCAAGGGAACCAGCTCTTCGGGACCACGACTATTAATTAAATGTTTGAATAATCTGTGTTTTGGCCTATTTAAATAAAAACAAAAACAATTGAATATGTAAATATCTAAAAAGAAATTGTTGAATGTATGTATAGTTCTTTACAAATGTCTAGATGATTAAATTTTTTTTGTGTAAATAGTGTTCATCATTAGTATGTAGTTCAAACTACACTTATCAAAATACATTTTTTTGTATTCGTCCTTGGGCTATATTAGCAATTAGCACCATCTACTGGTAAATTATAGTACTTTTGGTGTACTACTAATTCAAAATACTATTCTCAGTCAAGAGAAACACATTAGTCATATACATTTAGACATATTTCAACAAGAAAACACATGTATAGACACACTCACCTTAAAAAAGCAAGAACATTAAAATATTGATTGGTTGAAAAGAACACAAAACCTTAGCAGGGAATGGATTAAAGGTACGCAATTTTTTTCTAAATGAAAAATGAGACATAATCATTAAACAATAATAAATTGCCTTGGCCATGGGGCACAGTCTTCCTCTGTGATTTTTTTTTGTGTTATTAGGTGCGAGGTGATTGTTAGTGAGGGTTCTACTTCAGTGTCCAGGGCAGCTCCAGCTCCCTGCAACACACAATACATTTGGCAAAATCAATTGCCAGGCTAACAAAAGAACATGACTTCAGCTATATACCTCTTCATTTTATTTACATTGTTAAATCTCAAAATGAAATGAGTACTTGTATTCCTGTCCCCTGCAACCATAACTCAAAGTGCAGATACAGAATTAAAAAAGAATCTAGAAGTATCATATTAAGTTTAAGAGAATTTTTGTTTTGTTTTTTAGGGTGAACCACCGGTGTACTGCCGACTGAACCACCATGTACCCCTAAACTCAGCATCTTCCTCTTTTGGTTTGCCAGTGGCACCACGTTAACGCTGGGTTTGTCGCTCAGGCATTGGACAATGCCACCAGTCCACAGTCCACGATGTGATCCACAGGGTGGCCACCAGAATCCTTCAAATGCGTGGCCCAAAATAATTCATTTCCCCTTTCCCTGGAGGAACTTCCCCAAGTTGCACGCTGGGTTTTCAGCTGCTGGGTCTGGACCAGCTGCTCTCAATTAATGTTTGTGGGGGAGGCATCGACGGCTGCCACATCAAATAAAGCCCCTCAAGAGAATGCACATGTTATTTTAAACCAGAAAATTGGTTTATTCTATTCAAATGCAGGCTGTGTGTAATCACCGGCTTATTTATTGATTTTGTTTGTTGCTACCCCGGATTCTTGTGCACGATTCTCGAGTGCTTTAAAAACAGCCCCCCTCTACCGTCCCACCGGCTCTATCCCCCCAAAATGACCACGTCCTCCTTGGGATGGAGGCTTACCCTTCTCCGTCTGCCCATCACACTCCTCCACTCCATACAGAAGCCGGTTCGAGCCCAGTGGAAGCCCGCTTCACCGGCAACCCATGCACGGGCACGATCTGTAACAGAAAGAGCGTTTGGCATGATGAAGGCAAGATGGCGATCAAAATTTTTTTTAAGGCACTGGAAGTCCAACCCACCTTTTGCCGTCGAGACTGCCTGTTTGCGCCATCCTGACATTAGTGTCTGTGTGTGGAATCACGGTTGCGTGGGACCGGATGGCAGCAGCACTTTCCGCCGCCAAAGGCTAGCTTTCTTCGGGAGACATTAGTGTCTGTGAATCACGGTTTTTAAAGGAGACCTTTAGTGTCTGTGATCACGTAAAGGAGACATTAGTGTCTGTGATAACAGTTAAAGGAGACATTAGTGTCTGTGATAACAGTTAAAGGAGACATTAGTTTCTGTGATTCCAGTGTTTTGTGGACGACGGGTGGGACTCACTTCTCTATTGTCACTGTTTCATTTGAGGCTGCTTCTGATGAAGTAGAAACATGTTTGATTTTCAGAGTTTTTATGTCCGTGATGTCGGGCCCGGACTATTCTCTAACTGAAAAGTTTGGACACCCCTGCCTTAGAGCCGCTGGTGCAAACGGAGCAGAGGCCGACGTACCATGAACGTGTCTGAATGTCATTTATCCAGTCTCTGTTAGTGAGAATCTATTTCAGGCTGGACCCATTATTGACGGACAACACAACTCCTGAGTGCGAGGCAACACAGGAACACAACCACCACACGCTTATAAGCTGCGGAAAGTCGATTCCGTTCGCATTTAATAGAATCCTGGAGACAAAAACCCAGGTCGTGGATGTGGAGAGGACAAAGGCCCCGGCCACTGCCTCGCTCTATTGTGAGCGTGGACGTGCGGCCCCTGCTGCGGAGGCGGGGCCGGTCAATAAGAATAATACCAGATATATTCATAGACCAGAGGAGGCACCAGGTGAGCCTCCTCTGAGCCTCCTCTTTTCAGGACTCTAAAGTCAATCAAGTCTAAATCATCATTCTCTCCAAACACGGTGGTGATAAACTACTGTTAGCCACAGCTGCCCTGGGGCACACTGACAGAAGCGAGGCCCCTCCCACCACCAACCATTCTCACACACACCCAGACTCATTCTTAATGTGGGGGAAGTGTCTTGCCTAAGGACACAACCACAGTTTGGCACTCTTACAGCCGCAGCCGCCCCACTGTGGCACCTGCTGTTCCCAGAGGTCACCCAATCACAGCACTAACCAGGTCCTGTCCTGTTAGCTTCAGTAGGTCCTGACAGGATCTGGCTTTTCACAGGCAATTAGCTCCATATTCATGACATCTGGAACAAAATCATGCCCCCGCCCCTTCTGCCTCAAAGCTCCGATGATAAACAAGTGCGAGATGTTTTAACTCCTGGTTTTGTCTTTTGTGCTTTGAAAGTTACGGACCCCAGCTTTAAACGCCCAGCAGCTGATGGCTCTCAAAAGGCACTTGCTCCGTGTGTTTTTCATTGGAGCTCCAGGGTCAGGACCAAGGATAACCCCCACATCTGCTCCTGACCCCGGCTGTATCCGAATGTCCACACTATACCCTATTCACTCAACTCACTATATAGTTCGGGACTATATAGCGACTGAGTGAGTGAAGTCAGTGCACTCATTCTGTTGGCGATTCGGACACATGCACACTATTTTTAGCCGCGGCCCACATCACACCCCTGTCACATGTCATTGGATCAATATAATTTTATATATATAATAAAAGTATATTAAAATAACAATATTTGTCTATATACATGTAAAAATGTTTTTACAATTTATATTCATATTTATGAATTTTGGTTGACGTCTTTCATATTCCCGCCACCTGACCGGCATCCTCTAACACCGGTGAAATGGCACCTCACTGAATTTTGCGGTGTTTTTCATAACTATTATACAAGTTATCATAATGCGAATTAAAAACCGGCCGAACAGAGAGAAGGCGAAAGACAGGCGATGAGGCGGAGGAGGAGAATGGCTCTTCTTTCATTAGCAAGGCGTCGTGTAAGTATTGTATTCGTCCTTTGTCTATATAGCATTAGCACCATCTACTGGGTAAATTATAGTACTTTTGGTGTACTTACTAAATAAAAATACTATTCTCAGTCAATGAGAAACACATTAGTCAAATTACATATTAGACATATTTCAACAAAGAAAACACATTGTATAGACACACTCACTTAAAATGCAAGAACATTATAATATTGTTTTGGTTGAAAGAACACAAAACCATAGCAAGGGAAATGGAATAAGTACTCATTTTTTCTAAATGAAAAATTGAGTACTTAATCATTAAACAATAATAGAATTTGCTTGGGCCATGGGGCACAGGGCTTCTGTGATTTTTTTTGTGTTATTAGGTGCGAGTGATGTAGTGAGGGTTTCTACTTCAGTTGTATCTCAGGGCAGCTCCAGCTCCCTGCAACACACAATACAATTTGGCAAAATCCAGTGGCACCGCGTACCGTGTTGTCGCCAGGGCATTGGACATGCCCCAGTCCACAGTCCACGATGTGATCCACAGGGTGGCCAACCAGATCCTTCAAATGCGTGGCCAAATAATTCATTTCCCTTCCCTGGAGGAACTTCCCCAAGTTGCAGCTGGGTTTCATTTGCTGGCTGGATCAGCTGCTCTCAATAATGTTGTGGGAGCATCGACGGCTGCCACATTAGAATAAAGCCCCTTCAAAAAAATGCACAGTGTTATTTTAACAGGAAATTGTTTTATTCTATTCAAATGCAGGCTGTGTGTAATCACCGTGGCTTATTTATTGATTTGTTTGTTGGCTACCCCGGATCTGTGCACGATTCTCGAGTGCTTAAAAAACAGCCCCCTCTACGCCACCGGCTCTATCCCCCAAATGGACACGTCCTCCTTGGGGGATGGGGGTTACCCTTGCCTCCGTCAGCCCATCACACTCCTCCCTCCATACAGAGAGCCTGTTTGGAGCCCAGTGGAAGCCCGCGTCAAACCGGCACCATGCACGGGCACGATCAGTAATAGAGAGAGCGTTTGGCATGATGATGAAAGCAAGATGGCGATCCATTTTTTTCAAGGCACTGGAAGTCCAACCCACCTTTGCAGTCCAGGTGACTGCCTGTTGCGCCATCCCCACTCTGGGAGCCAGTGGAAGAGGAGCCAGGGCCTGATGATGAGCAGGACCAGCATCAGCAGCACCAGCCTGATCAGCAGTGTGGACAGGAGCTGTGTGGACAGCTGTGTGGACAGGAGCTGTGTGGACAGCTGTGTGGACAGGAGCTGTGTGGACAGCTGTGTGGACAGGAGCTGTGTGGACAGGAGCTGCGTGGACAGGAGCAGTGTGGACAGGAGCTGTGTGGACAGGAGCTGTGTGGACAGGAGCTGTGTGGACAGGAGCTGCGTGGACAGGAGCTGTGTGGACAGGAGCAGTGTGGACAGGAGCTGTGTGGACAGGAGCTGTGTGGACAGGAGCTGTGTGGACAGGAGCTGTATGGACAGGAGCTGTGTGGACAGGAGCTGTGTGGACAGGAGCTGTGTGGACAGGAGCTGTGTGGACAGGAGCTGTGTGGACAGGAGCTGTGTGGACAGGAGCTGCGTGGACAGGAGCTGTGTGGACAGGAGCTGTGTGGACAGGAGCAGTGTGGACAGGAGCTGTGTGGACAGGAGCTGTGTGGACAGGAGCTGTGTGGACAGGAGCTGTGTGGACAGGAGCTGTGTGGACAGGAGCTGTGTGGACAGGAGCTGTGTGGACAGGAGCAGTGTGGACGGATGGCAGCAGCACTTTCCGCCCCAAGGGAACCAGCTCTTCGGGACCACGACTATTAATTAAATGTTTGAATAATCTGTGTTTTGGCCTATTTAAATAAAAACAAAAACAATTGAATATGTAAATATCTAAAAAGAAATTGTTGAATGTATGTATAGTTCTTTACAAATGTCTAGATGATTAAATTTTTTTTGTGTAAATAGTGTTCATCATTGTATGTAGTTCAAACTACACTTATCAAAATACATTTTTATTTATAATTTCTCCACTATTCTCTCCAACAACAAAAAAACATTAAACACACAATAAATGCTATACATATAACACAAGTGCTTTAATAACATTAATGACTGACCACCAGTGACCCGTTTCTGTAGCGTTCGCTTTAGATGTTAATGTTATGATACGCAAAAATGCTAACATTTTTTGCGGCATAACATTGGTACGTTGTTTCGCAGTAAAAGGCAATGGTATTCTGACTTCAAATGTGTATTTTGGCAGCTTATCGTCAACAATATATCACGGTTTACACATTTACATATTTATGATGATCAAAAACTCACATTTGCTCATGTCCCGCTTCTCTTTCAACACGTCTCTCTGTGCCTCCGCCATTGTTCTTCCGTATAGTGACCACTGCTGTTCACTACATGTTCGAGATGCATTGTGGGAAAATTCCAGTGCACTACTTTTTCTCTCTGGACATTCGGACACCCCTACAAAATGGCGTGACCACTATATAGTGCACTATATAGGGTATAGTGTGGACATTCGGATACAGCCCCCGAGTCCACTTCCACACCGCGCGCCTGCTTTAAACGCCCTCTGGAAAAAAGAGAGAGACGAAGGTTCCGCCTCCACGCGAGCGGCTGGAAAACCCTCTTAACCCCGACGGAAGCTGAGGTCGCTGTCACGGCACGGCACGGCCCGGCCTGGCTCTGGGGCTGCAGGTGATTGGCCAGAAGCAGATTAGAAAATCAATAGAAAGAGGTCAAACTAATTCATTAATATAGATTTATCGGTGGGTTGTTGATTGTCGCAGCCCTAATCTCAGCTGTTTAGATTCTGAGACTTTTCTCCCACAGCGGCCCCAACGCTGGGCTAGGGCTGCACATGATTTGCCGATAGTAAATTAGAAAATCAATAGAAACCGATGTTCAGACCAATCAACCGATACATGTTAGTTTGGGTCGAGGATCACAGCAGGTCAGTTTTATGGACTTATTTTAAGAGTTGCTCTGATTGTTGCAGACTCTAGAATCACCTTTAACTCCTGCTCCTGTTAAAGCTGGGTTACCTGACTTTTCCCCTTTGATAATACTGTATTAATTATGAGATTTAAAACACAACTACTGTGTACTAAACATGAAATACAGTCAAAGTTACAGACATCACCTTTAACCTCAGTGCTGTAACACCTGGGATTATATACACGGTGTATAACTATAAGTATCAAGCATTACCAGATCCTTTACTGGTCCCAGAGCGGGGAAAGTTCAGTGTTGCCTCGTTACAGAGCAGTAGAGGTGTTTGAACTGTCTGATTCTCTGATCTGCTGTTGGGGAATCCACAACTTTGGAAAGTCCTCTGAGAAACTACTGTTGTCATTTAGGGTGATACACAAATACATAGTTGCTCCCTCTCGTTTCTGGTCCCTCTCGCTCCTGGTCCCTCTCTTCCTCTCCTCCCGCTCCCTCTCTTCCTGGTCCCTCTCTTCCTAGTCCCTCTCCGGGGGTTCCCACAGCTGCCTCTCTGGTAGATAAGTGCTGATGGAGAGTCCTGAGCCCTCTCTCTCCCGCTCCCTCTCCTCCTGGTCCCTCCCCTCCCGCTCCCTCTCTTCCTGGTCCCTCTCGCTCCTGGTCCCTCTCCGGGGTTCCCACAGCTGCCTCTCTGGTAGATAAGTGCTGATGGAGAGTCCTGATCCCTCTCTCTCCCGCTCCCTCTCCTCCTGGTCCCTTTCCTCCTGGTCCCTCTTCTCCCGCTCCCTCTCTTCCTGGTCCCTCTCGCTCCTGGTCCCTCTCCGGGGGTTCCCACAGCTGCCTCTCTGGTAGATAAGTGCTGATGGAGAGTCCTGATCCCTCTCTCTCCCGCTCCCTCTCCTCCTGGTCCCTTTCCTCCTGGTCCCTCCCCTCCCGCTCCCTCTCTTCCTGGTCCCTCTCCTCCTGGTCCCTCTCCGGGGGTTCCCACAGCTGCCTCTCTGGTAGATAAGTGCTGATGGAGAGTGTGAGCAGGTCCATTGTTGTTTGTGAGTTTGTTTTGGTGATTCCTCAGCGTTTGTCCCGGAGCGAGACTGGGCTTCGAACACAATCACAGGAGGCAGCAGTGCATTGTGGGTCGCTGGTGATAAGACGCCGCAGGTTTGAGGAGGATGGCGTCAGTGAAGGAGTGTGTTTGTGTCTTTAGCTTCGACAAAAACAGACTTTAGTGAAAAGGACGAGTTATTATTATGGTCTCTCTCTGGTCTCTCTCTGGTCTCTCTCTGGTCTCTCTCTGGTCTCTCTCTGGTCTCTCTCTCTGGTCTCTCTCTGGTCTCTCTCTCTGGTCTCTCTCTCTGGTTTCTCTCTGGTCTCTCTCTCTGGTCTCTCTCTGGTCTCTCTCTGGTCTCTCTCTGGTCTCTCTCTGGTCTCTCTCTGGTCTCTCTCTCTGGTCTCTCTCTGGTCTCTCTCTCTGGTCTCTCTCTCTGGTCTCTCTCTGGTCTCTCTCTCTGGTCTCTCTCTGGTCTCTCTCTGGTTTCTCTCTGGTCCCTCTGTGGTCTTCTTTAAAACTGCTAAAAGACGTTTTAAAGCCGTGAACAGACAATTTCACATGTTCTGTACCCTGTAACAATGCTAACCAGACGTTAGCTTGTTCCAGACTTTAGTGAACGCGGCAGAGAAGCATCTGCTGTCAGTGTGAGCATGTGCGACTGGTTAGCGCGCTGTGGCTAATGGCTAGCGGCTAACGGTGGGGTCTCGGGTCATGTGCTAAAGCAGGAGCCGAGATGGTTTTACGGGCGATTTACGAGCTCAGAGCGATTCTGCGGCGGAGGCGAGAGACGGAGACCTGAGACCGAGACCATCTGGGACTCATGAGCCGGACTGGACTGGGACTGGGACTGGGACTGGACTGGGACTGGGACTGGGACCTGGGACTGGGACTGGGACTGGGACTGGGGACTGGGACTGGGACTGGGACTGGGACTGGGACTGGGACTGGGACTGGACTGGGACTGGGACTGGACTGGACTGGGACTGGGACTGGGACTGGGACTGGGACTGGGACTGGGACTGGGACTGGGACTGGGATCACGTTCCTCTTTCAGCCACAATCTAACATTTCATTTTGATTCATGCGTTTTTGAGTTTTTCCCTCAATATTTTACTGACGTCACAAGTCGCTGGTTCTTACGGTCCACAGTCTCCAGAGAAGAAGCTCCTGATTTTTTCTTTACCAAAACGTGTTGATAAAAGAGTTTTAGTGAAGAATAAATATAAGATATTCAAGAAAACGTAAGTTAAGCCTTTAGAAGATAAGAACCAGTTAGCCCCGCCCCCTCTCACCTTCAGCTCCTCCCCCATGATGGGTCTGTACCTCCCCCTCTCCTCCCCCATGATGGACCTGAACCTCCCCCTCTCCTCCCCCATGATGGACCTGTACCTCCCCCTCTCCTCCCCCATGATGGGTCTGTACCTCCCCCTCTCCTCCCCCATGATGGACCTGAACCTCCCCCTCTCCTCCCCCATGATGGACCTGAACCTCCCCCTCTCCTCCCCCATGATGGACCTGAACCTCCCCCTCTCCTCCCCCATGATGGACCTGAACCTCCCCCTCTCCTCCCCCATGATGGACCTGTACCTCCCCCATGATGGACCTGTACCTCCCCCATGATGGACCTGAACCTCCCACTCTCCTCCCCCATGATGGACCTGTACCTCCCCCATGATGGACCTGAACCTCCCACTCTCCTCCCCCATGATGGACCTGTACCTCCCCCTCTCCTCCCCCATGATGGACCTGTACCTCCCCCTCTCCTCCCCCATGATGGACCTGTACCTCCCCCATGATGGACCTGTACCTCCCCCTCTCCTCCCCCATGATGGACCTGTACCTCCCCCTCTCCTCCCCCATGATGGACCTGTACCTCCCCCATGATGGACCTGTACCTCCCCCTCTCCTCCCCCATGATGGACCTGTACCTCCCCCTCTCCTCCCCAATGATGGGCCTGTACCTCCCCCTCTCCTCCCCCATGATGGACCTGTACCTCCCCCTCTCCTCCCCCATGATGGACCTGTACCTCCCCCTCTCCTCCCCCATGATGGGTCTGTACCTCCCCCTCTCCTCCCCCATGATGGACCTGTACCTCCCCCTCTCCTCCCCCATGATGGACCTGAACCTCCCCCTCTCCTCCCCCCATGATGGACCTGTACCTCCCCCTCTCCTCCCCCATGATGGTACCTGTACCTCCCCCTCTCCTCTCCCCCCATGATGGACCTGAACCTCCCCCTCTCCTCCCCCATGATGGACCTGAACCTCCCCCTCTCCTCCCCCATGATGGACCTGAACCTCCCCCTCTCCTCCCCCATGATGGACCTGAACCTCCCCCTCTCCTCCCCCATGATGGACCTGAACCTCCCCCTCTCCTCCCCCATGATGGACCTGAACCTCCCCCTCTCCTCCCCCATGATGGACCTGAACCTCCCCCTCTCCTCCCCCATGATGGACCTGAACCTCCCCCTCTCCTCCCCCATGATGGACCTGAACCTCCCCCATGATGGACCTCTCCCCCCCTCCTCCCCCATGATGGACCTGAACCTCCCCCTCTCCTCCCCCATGATGGACCTGAACCTCCCCCTCTCCTCCCCCATGATGGACCTGAACCTCCCCCTCTCCCCCCCATGATGGACCTGAACCTCCCCCTCTCCTCCCCCATGATGGACCTGTACCTCCCCCTCTCCTCCCCCATGATGGACCTGTACCTCCCCCTCTCCTCCCCCATGATGGACCTGTACCTCCCCCATGATGGACCTGTACCTCCCCCTCTCCTCCCCCATGATGGACCTGTACCTCCCCCTCTCCTCCCCCATGATGGACCTGTACCTCCCCCTCTCCTCCCCCATGATGGACCTGTACCTCCCCCTCTCCTCCCCCATGATGGACCTGTACCTCCCCCTCTCCTCCCCCATGATGGACCTGTACCTCCCCCTCTCCTCCCCCATGATGGGTCTGTACCTCCCCCTCTCCTCCCCCATGATGGACCTGAACCTCCCCCTCTCCTCCCCCATGATGGACCTGAACCTCCCCCTCTCCTCCCCCATGATGGACCTGAACCTCCCCCTCTCCTCCCCCATGATGGACCTGAACCTCCCCCTCTCCTCCCCCATGATGGACCTGAACCTCCCCTCTCCTCCCCCCATGATGGACCTGAACCTCCCCCTCTCCTCCCCCATGATGGACCTGAACTTCCCCCTCTCCTCCCCCATGATGGACCTGAACCTCCCCCTCTCCTCCCCCATGATGGACCTGAACCTCCCCCTCTCCTCCCCCATGATGGACCTGAACCTCCCCCTCTCCTCCCCCATGATGGACCTGAACCTCCCCCTCTCCTCCCCCATGATGGACCTGAACTTCCCCCTCTCCTCCCCCATGATGGACCTGAACCTCCCCCTCTCCTCCCCCATGATGGACCTGAACCTCCCCCTCTCCTCCCCCATGATGGACCTGAACCTCCCCCTCTCCTCCCCCATGATGGACCTGAACCTCCCCTCTCCTCCCCCATGATGGACCTGAACCTCCCCCTCTCCTCCCCCATGATGGACCTGAACCTCCCCCTCTCCTCCCCCATGATGGACCTGAACCTCCCCCTCTCCTCCCCCATGATGGACCTGAACCTCCCCCTCTCCTCCCCCATGATGGACCTGAACCTCCCCCTCTCCTCCCCCATGATGGACCTGAACCTCCCCCTCTCCTCCCCCATGATGGACCTGAACCTCCCCCTCTCCTCCCCCATGATGGACCTGAACCTCCCCCTCTCCTCCCCCATGTTGTACCCGTACTAGCGAGCCGAGACTCCCCCAGGGCCACGGTCCCTCGTAATCGAATAAAACCCCAAACTGAGCCCTGGATCTCCCCCTCCTCCCTCCTCCTCCCCTGCCCCCCCCCCCCCCCCCCCCCCCCCCCCCTCTGCTGCTGCATGATGGGAAGCAGATGTGGTACAGCGCAGGTTAAAGTACAGACCCCCCCAATGTCAACTTGGAGAATGTCTTCATTGCCAAGATCGGTGTCCGCTTACATCAGGACTGAGCAAAGGGACCGAGCTAAAGGGACCGAGCAAAGGGACCGAGCAAAGGGACCGAGCTAAAGGGACCGAGCTAAAGGGACCGAGCAAAGGGACCGAGCAAAGGGACCGAGCTAAAGGGACCGAGCAAAGGGACCGAGCAAAGGGACCGAGCTAAAGGGACCGAGCAAAGGGACCGAGCTAAAGGGACCGAGCTAAAGGGACCGAGCAAAGGGACCGAGCTAAAGGGACCGAGCTAAAGGGACCGAGCTAAAGGGACCAGTTCAGCTGGCCCTTAACTGGTCCTGGTCCTGAACTGGTTCTGGTTCAGCTTGGTTTTACGTCAGAGAACAACAAGTGCTAGTTACCATAGCGACTGCAGTTAGCATTTAGCCTTTAGCATTAGCTTCTCAACAAACAGTTTCTGCTGTATTTCAAGTTGTATTTACCAGTTTTCGCACAGAGCACCAGATGTGGGATGTTTTTCTGTGTGTTGTTCTGTTGTTTAAACTTGTTTTAGTAAATACTATCTTTAAAAACAGTAAGAAGAGACTTTCTGAAAACTCTGCTGTGTGTTTCTGTCCTATTTAAATGTGACGAAGTGCATCCTGGTCTCTGCCATTCTAACTTCCACATACCATGTACACACGCCTCCCTCTGTGCTTTCTGGTACGACCCGACATGTCTCAAACCAGATGTTCCGCTGGCAGCGTGACCGGCTCCTGGTCCGGGCCCTGCGAGCGCTGTCACCGGCCTCTTGTGTATTTCTGTGCGTTGGGCCATACATCCAGCGTGTCATTATGGTCTCGGGCTCATACGGCCTGGGACCTGACATGGCTGTAATTCCACACAGCTGCTCCTGTAAACACGGACATGGCAGCGAGATGGCAGCGAGATGGCAGCGAGATGGCAGCGAGATGGCAGCGAGATGGCGGTCACTCAGAACCAGCCTCTGCGGAAGAGAAGCGGGTTTGAGTCAACGTTTTTAGTTTGTTTGGTGAACAGCAACTTTGATCCGAAACGTCTTAGAGGAGAGAATAATAATAATAATACATCGGTTTTCTATAGTAGTAATAGTAGTAATCTTTATTTATATACCGCCTTTTCACTGCACATCGGAGTCTCAAAGCGGTTTACAATTGTTATGTTTTTTTTTTTTTTTGGGAGTGGGGCCAGTACAGGAGGCACATGCTATACCTATTGTACATATTTTTAGTGGTAGGGGAAACCGGAGTACCCGGAGGAAACCTACGCAGACACGGGGAGAACATGCAAACTCCACTCAGAAAGGCCCTGGTCCAACCGGGATTTGAACCCAGGACCTTCTTGCTGAGAGGCGAGAGTGCTATCCACTCAGCCACCGTGCCGCCCATATAGATCTCTGTGGACCCTCAAAGTCTCTTCACATCATTCTCTCTCTCCAAACACGGTGGTGATAAACTACTGTAGCCACAGCTGCCCTGGGGCACACTGACAGAAGCCCCTCCCACCACCACCAACCATTCACACACACACCAGACTCATTCTAATGTGGGGGAAGTGTCTTGCCTAAGGACACAACCACAGTTTGGCACTTGCTGTTCCCAGAGGTCTCCCATCACAGCACTAACCAGGCCCTGCCCTGCTCAGCTTCAGAGGTCTGATGAGATCTGGCTTTCACATGCAGGTACGACCTTGCAGCCCATATTGACTGAGCTGAAGTTGGCTGGATGACACTGTGGACTTGTGAACGCTGCTTTAAGTTAGCAAGGCACAGCGCTAAAACATAGACAAACTCCTTCCAGTGTCTATATAGCAGCTCTGGTCTAAACTGTACTCACTATGCTAACCGCTAACCCGCTAGCACAAGAAAACGCAACCAGGAAGTGCCCGCGGGTCTTGTTTTGTTGGATTTGCGTGGTCTCAAAGAGCTCTGTACGCAGCTTATTTGTACTTTAGAATTATTTTTACAAACTGAAAAATGTAGAAGTTGCGTCACTAACATTGTTCTGTTTTGAGTTAGCATTAGCGTTTTGTTCCTGTAGCTGTAGCTAGCATGTTACCGTAGCTTCAGACTACATTCTTTTTAAGACATCCATCTTCTGTCTTCTTTTGTTTTCTCATCATTGTTCTGCTGGATCTACTTCTGGAATCATTTTAGCGTCTGTTTGTTTTTGTGAATGTTCTGTCTGTAGAAAAACCATGACGTCATATATATATATATATATATATGTATATATATATATATATATATATATATATATATATATATATATATATATATGCACAAGTACCTGGGACGTACAGTACCTGTCCCGACTACTTTCAAGAGGAACATGGTAAAAGAAATGACTGACATCTTGTTGAAATAGTTTAAACGTTGGGTTTTAGGAGCGGCTCAGACTCTGAGAGAAAGAGAAGGAGACGAGTGGATCTGTCCCAGGAGAGGCCTGACAGAGTGTCCCCGTCTGAGACAATGACCTGAGACCAGGACTAATGTGAGAGGACTTCAGGACAGAGACCTGAGACCAGGACTAATGTGAGAGGACTTCAGGACAGAGACCTGAGACCAGGACTAATGTGAGAGGACTTCAGGACAGAGACCTGACACCAGGACTAATGTGAGAGGACCTCAGGACTGAGACCTGAGACCAGGACTAATGTGAGAGGACTTCAGGACAGAGACCTGAGACCAGGACTAATGTGAGAGGACTTCAGGACAGAGACCTGAGACCAGGACTAATGTGAGAGGACTTCAGGACAGAGACCTGAGACCAGGACTAATGTGAGAGGACTTCAGGACAGAGACCTGAGACCAGGACTAATGTGAGAGGACTTCAGGACAGAGACCTGAGACCAGGACTAATGTGAGAGGACTTCAGGACAGAGACCTGAGACCAGGACTAATGTGAGAGGACTTCAGGACAGAGACCTGAGACCAGGACTAATGTGAGAGGACCTCAGGACTGAGACCTGAGACCAGGACTAATGTGAGAGGACTTCAGGACAGAGACCTGAGACCAGGACTAATGTGAGAGGACTTCAGGACAGAGACCTGAGACCAGGACTAATGTGAGAGGACTTCAGGACAGAGACCTGAGACCAGGACTAATGTGAGAGGACTTCAGGACAGAGACCTGAGACCAGGACTAATGTGAGAGGACTTCAGGACAGAGACCTGAGACCAGGACTAATGTGAGAGGACTTCAGGACAGAGACCTGAGACCAGGACTAATGTGAGAGGACTTCAGGACAGAGACCTGAGACCAGGACTAATGTGAGAGGACTTCAGGACAGAGACCTGAGACCAGGACTAATGTGAGAGGACTTCAGGACAGAGACCTGAGACCAGGACTAATGTGAGAGGACTTCAGGACAGAGACCTGAGACCAGGACTAATGTGAGAGGACTTCAGGACAGAGACCTGAGTCTCTAACTTCAAACCAAAGCCAGTTTATAAACCTTCACTGTGTTGTCAGGCCTGAGTGCCTCCCACAGATCGACGCAGGCCAAAACATGACACCTCCGCAGCCCGGGCCTGTCCGACATGATCATCTGAGCCCAGGGCAGAGGAGCAGAGCTGGGGACAGACGGGAGCAGCTCCCCCTGACCTCTCAGACTCACGCTGCTTTCATTCTGGCTAATTACATTCCTCACTGACAGAAAGTTGGCTCCGACCACCGGAGCAGAGAGAGAGCAGGTAACGAGACCGAGACCCAGACCGAGACCGAGGCCGAGAGAGAGAGACCGAGGCCGAGAGAGAGACTGAGGCAGAGAGAGAGAGCAGGTAACGAGACCCAGACCCAGACAGAGAGAGAGAGAGAGACCGAGGCAGAGAGAGAGAGACTGAGGAAGAGAGAGAGAGACCGAGGCAGAGAGAGAGAGACTGAGGAAGAGAGAGAGAGACTGAGGCAGAGAGAGAGAGACTGGGGCAGAGAGAGAGACTGAGGCAGAGAGAGAGACTGAGGCAGAGAGAGAGACTGAGGCAGAGAGAGAGACTGAGGCAGAGAGAGAGACTGAGGCAGAGAGAGAGACTGAGGCAGAGAGAGAGACTGAGGCAGAGAGAGAGAGAGACTGAGGCAGAGAGAGAGAGACCGAGGCCGAGAGAGAGAGACCGAGGCAGAGAGAGAGAGCAGGTAACGAGACCCAGACCCAGAACGAGAGAGAGAGAGAGACTGAGCCAGAGAGAGAGAGACTGAGGCAGAGAGAGACTGAGGCAGAGAGAGAGACTGAGGCAGAGAGAGAGACTGAGGCAGAGAGAGAGAGAGACTGAGGCAGAGAGAGAGAGACTGAGGCAGAGAGAGAGAGACTGAGGCAGAGAGAGAGACTGAGGCAGAGAGAGAGAGACTGAGGCAGAGAGAGAGAGACTGAGGCAGAGAGAGAGACTGAGGCAGAGAGAGAGACTGAGGCAGAGAGAGAGAGACTGAGGCAGAGAGAGACTGAGGCAGAGAGAGAGAGACTGAGGCAGAGAGAGAGAGACTGAGGCAGAGAGAGAGACTGAGGCAGAGAGAGAGACTGAGGCAGAGAGAGAGAGACTGAGGCAGAGAGAGAGAGACTGAGGCAGAGAGAGAGACTGAGGCAGAGAGAGAGAGACTGAGGCAGAGAGAGAGACTGAGGCAGAGAGAGAGACTGAGGCAGAGAGAGAGACTGAGGCAGAGAGAGAGAGACTGAGGCAGAGAGAGACTGAGGCAGAGAGAGAGAGACTGAGGCAGAGAGAGAGAGACTGAGGCAGAGAGAGAGACTGAGGCAGAGAGAGAGACTGAGGCAGAGAGAGAGAGACTGAGGCAGAGAGAGAGACTGAGGCAGACAGAGAGAGACTGAGGCAGAGAGAGAGACTGAGGCAGAGAGAGAGACTGAGGCAGAGAGAGAGACTGAGGCAGAGAGAGAGAGACTGAGGCAGAGAGAGAGACTGAGGCAGAGAGAGAGAGACTGAGGCAGAGAGAGAGACTGAGGCAGAGAGAGAGACTGAGGCAGAGAGAGAGAGACTGAGGCAGAGAGAGAGAGACTGAGGCAGAGAGAGAGAGAGACTGAGGCAGAGAGAGAGACTGAGGCAGAGAGAGAGAGACTGAGGCAGAGAGAGAGACTGAGGCAGAGAGAGAGAGACTGAGGAAGAGAGAGAGACTGAGGCAGAGAGAGAGAGACTGAGGCAGAGAGAGAGACTGAGGCAGAGAGAGAGACTGAGGCAGACAGAGAGAGACTGAGGCAGAGAGAGAGACTGAGGCAGAGAGAGAGACTGAGGCAGAGAGAGAGACTGAGGCAGAGAGAGAGAGACTGAGGCAGAGAGAGAGACTGAGGCAGAGAGAGAGACTGAGGCAGAGAGAGACTGAGGCAGAGAGAGAGAGACTGAGGCAGAGAGAGGTCCTACAGATATCACTCTTGTGGATCTCTCTCTCCTGGATCTCTCTCCTGGATCTGGTCTCGGTCTCGTAGATCTCTCTCTCCTGGGTCTCTCTCCCCTGTATCTGGTCTCGGTCTTGTGGTCTCGGCCTTGTGGTCTCGGTCTCGTGGTTTCGGTCTCGTGGTCTCGGTCTCGCGGGCTCGGCGGCGGTGGCTCAGGTTGCCGCTCTCTCCTGGCGTTTGTCTTTACGATGTAATTAAGGGGTTTGTGGACCCGCGGCCGCACAATGACAAACTCCTGCGCTGCGTTGCCAGATCGGAAATCTATTAACAGCTCAATTCAGCAAAGTTAATACGACTGTGCTGCTGCTGAGAGACGAGAAACAGACGAGAAACAGAGAGACGAGAAACAGAGAGACGAGAAACAGAGAAACAGAGAGACGAGAAACAGAGAGACGAGAAACAGAGAGACGAGAAACAGAGACGAGAAACAGAGAGACGAGAAACAGAGAGACGAGAATCAGAGAGACGAGAAACAGAGAGACGAGAAACAGAGAGACGAGAAACAAAGACGAGAAACAGAGAGACGAGAAACAGAGACGAGAAACAGAGAGACGAGAATCAGAGAAACAGAGAGACGAGAAACAGAGAGACGAGAAACAGAGAGACGAGAAACAGAGACGAGAAACAGAGACGAGAAACAGAGAGACGAGAAACAGAGAGACGAGAATCAGAGAGACGAGAATCAGAGAAACAGAGAGACGAGAAACAGAGAAACAGAGAGACGAGAAACAGAAACAGAGAGACGAGAAACAGAGACGAGAAACAGAGAGACGAGAAACAGAGACGAGACACAGAGAGACGAGAATAAGAGAGACGAGAATAAGAGAGACGAGAATAAGAGAGACGAGAATCAGAGAGAAGAGAATCAGAGAGACGAGAATCAGAGACGAGAAACAGAGAAACAGAGAGACGAGAAACAGAGAGACGAGAAACAGAGAGACGAGAATCAGAGACGAGAAACAGAGAGACGAGAAACAGAGACGAGAAACAGAGAGACGAGAAACAGAGAGACGAGAAACAGAAAAACAGAGAGACGAGAAACAGAGAGACGAGAAACAGAGACGAGAAACAGAGAGACGAGAAACAGACGAGAAACAGAGAGACGAGAAACAGAGAGACGAAAAACAGAGAGACGAGAAACAGAGAGACGAGAAACAGAGAAACAGAGAGACGAGAAACAGAGAAACAGAGAGACGAGAAACAGAGACGAGAAACAGAGAGACGAGAAACAGAGACGAGACACAGAGAGACGAGAATCAGAGAGACGAGAATCAGAGACGAGAAACAGAGAAACAGAGAGACGAGAAACAGAGAGACGAGAATCAGAGACGAGAAACGGAGAGACGAGAAACAGAGACGAGAAACAGAGAGACGAGAAACAGAGAGACGAGAATCAGAGAGACGAGAAACAGAGAAACAGAGAGACGAGAAACAGAGAGACGAGAAACAGAGAGACGAGAAACAGAGAGACGAGAAACAGAGACGAGAAACAGAGAGACGAGAAACAGAGACGAGAAATAGAGAGACGAAAATCAGAGAGACGAGAATCAGAGAAACAGAGAGACGAGAAACAGAGAGACGAGAAACAGAGAGACGAGAATCAGAGACGAGAAACAGAGAGACGAGAAACAGAAAGACGAGAAACAGAGAGACGAGAAACAGAGACGAGAAACAGAGAGACGAGAAACAGAGACGAGAAACAGAGAGACGAGAAATAGAGACGAGAAACAGAGAGACGAGAAACAGAGAGACGAGAAACAGAGAGACAAGAATCAGAGAGACGAGAAACAGAGAAACAGAGAGACGAGAAACAGAGAGACGAGAAACAGAGAGACGAGAAACAGAGACGAGAAACAGAGAGACGAGAAACAGAGACGAGAAAGAGAGAGACGAGAAACAGAGAGACGAGAATCAGAGAGACGAGAATCAGAGAGACGAGAATCAGAGAAACAGAGAGACGAGAAACAGAGAGACGAAAAACAGAGAGACGAGAATCAGAGAGACGAGAAACAGAGACGAGAAACAGAGAGACGAGAAACAGAGAGACGAGAAACAGAGAGACGAGAAACAGACGAGACGAGAAACAGAGAGACGAGAAACAGACGAGACGAGAAACAGAGAGACCAGAAACAGAGAGATGAGAAACAGAGACGAGAAACAGAGAGACGAGAAACAGAGAGACGAGAAAAAGAGAGACGAGAATCAGAGAAACAGAGAGACGAGAATCAGAGAGACGAGAATCAGAGAGACGAGAATCAGAGACGAGAAACAGAGAGACGAGAAACAGAGAGACGAGAAACAGAGAGACGAGAAACAGACGAGACGAGAAACAAGAGAGAGACGAGAAACAGACGAGACGAGAAACAGAGAGACGAGAAACAGAGAGACGAGAAACAGAGACGAGAAACAGAGAGACGAGAAACAGAGACGAGAAACAGAGAGACGAGAAACAGAGAGACGAGAATCAGAGAAACAGAGAGACGAGAATCAGAGAGACGAGTCTCAGAGACGAGAAACAGAGAGACGAGAAACAGAGAGACGAGAAACAGAGAGACGAGAATCAGAGAGACGAGAATCAGAGACGAGAAACAGAGAGACGAGAAACAGAGAGACGAGAAACAGAGACGAGAAACAGAGAGACGAGAAACAGAGAGACGAGAATAAGAGAGACGAGAAACAGAGAGACGAGAAACAGACGAGACGAGAAACAGAGAGACGAGAAACAGAGAGACGAGAAACAGAGAGACGAGAGTCAGAGAGACGAGAATCAGTGAAACAGAGAGACGAGAATCAGAGAGACGAGAAACAGAGAGACGAAAAACAGAGAGACGAGAATCAGAGAGACGAGAATCAGAGACGAGAAACAGAGAGACGAGAATCAGAGAGACGAGAAACAGAGAGACGAGAAACAGACGAGACGAGAAACAGAGAGACGAGAAACAGACGAGACGAGAAACAGAGAGACGAGAATCAGAGAGACGAGAAACAGAGAGACGAGAAACAGAAAAACAGAGAGACGAGAATCAGAGAAACAGAGAGAGGAGAAACAGAGAGACGAGAAACAGAGAGAGGAGAAACAGAGAGACGAGAAACAGAGAGACGAGAAACAGAGAGACGAGAAACAGAGAGACGAGAAACAGAGAGACGAGAATCAGAGAGACGAGAATCAGAGAGACGAGAATCAGAGAGACGAGAAACAGAGAGACGAGAAACAGAGAGACGAGAATCAGAGACGAGAAACAGAGAAACAGAGAGACGAGAAACAGAGAAACAGAGAGACGAGAAACAGAGAGACGAGAAACAGAGAGACGAGAAACAGAGACGAGAAACAGAGAGACGAGAAACAGAGACGAGAAACAGAGAGACGAGAAACAGAGACGAGAAACAGAGAGACGAGAAACAGAGAGACGAGAAACAGAGAGACGAGAAACAGAGACGAGAAACAGAGAGACGAGAAACAGAGAGACGAGAATCAGAGAGACGAGAATCAGAGAGACGAGAATCAGAGACGAGAAACAGAGAAACAGAGAGACGAGAAACAGAGAGACGAGAAACAGAGAGACGAGAATCAGAGAGACGAGAAACAGAGACGAGAATCAGAGAGACGAGAATCAGAGACGAGAAACAGAGAGACGAGAATCAGAGACGAGAAACAGAGAGACGAGAAACAGAGAAACAGAGAGACGAGAAACAGAGAAACAGAGAGACGAGAAACAGAGAAACAGAGAGACGAGAAACAGAGAAACAGAGAGACGAGAAACAGAGAGACGAGAAACAGAGAGACGAGAAACAGAGAAACAGAGAGACGAGAAACAGAGAGACGAGAAACAGAGACGAGAAACAGAGAGACGAGAAACAGAGACGAGAAACAGAGAGACGAGAAACAGAGAGACGAGAATCAGAGAGACGAGAATCAGAGAAACAGAGAGACGAGAAACAGAGAGACGAAAAACAGAGAGACGAGAATCAGAGAGATGAGAATCAGAGACGAGAAACAGAGAGACGAGAAACAGAGAGACGAGAAACAGAGAGACGAGAAACAGACGAGACGAGAAACAGAGAGACGAGAAACAGAGACGAGAAAAAGAGAGACGAGAAACAGACGAGACGAGAATCAGAGAGACGAGAAACAGAGAGACGAGAATCAGAGAGACGAGAATCAGAGAGACAAGAATCAGAGAAACAGAGAGACGAGAATCAGAGAGACGAGAATCAGAGACGAGAAACAGAGAAACAGAGAGACGAGAAACAGAGAGACGAGAAACAGAGAGACGAAAAACAGAGAGACGAGAATCAGAGAGACGAGAATCAGAGACGAGAAACAGAGAGACGAGAAACAGAGAGACGAGAAACAGACGAGACGAGAAACAGAGAGACGAGAAACAGACGAGACGAGAAACAGAGAGACGAGAATCAGAGAGACGAGAAACAGAGAGACGAGAAACAGAGACGAGAAACAGAGAGACGAGAAACAGAGACGAGAAACAGAGAGACGAGAAACAGAGAGACGAGAATCAGAGAGACGAGTCTCAGAGAGACGAGTCTCAGAGAGACGAGTCTCAGAGACGAGAAACAGAGAGACGAGAAACAGAGAGACGAGAAACAGAGAGACGAGAAACAGAGAGACGAGAATCAGAGAGACGAGAAACAGAGAGACGAGAATCAGAGAGACGAGAATCAGAGACGAGAAACAGAGAGACGAGAAACAGAGACGAGAAACAGAGAGACGAGAAACAGAGACGAGAAACAGAGAGACGAGAAACAGAGAGACGAGAATCAGAGAGACGAGAAACAGAGAGACGAGAAACAGACGAGACGAGAAACAGAGAGACGAGAAACAGAGAGACGAGTAACAGAGAGACGAGAATCAGAGAAACAGAGAGACGAGAAACAGAGACGAGAATCAGAGAAACAGAGAGACGAGAATCAGAGAGACGAGAAACAGAGACGAGAATCAGAGAGACGAGAATCAGAGAAACAGAGAGACGAGAATCAGAGACGAGAAACACAGAGACGAGAAACAGAGAGACGAGAAACAGAGAGACGAGAAACAGAGAGACGAGAATCAGAGAGACGAGAAACAGAGACGAGAATCAGAGACGAGAATCAGAGAGACGAGAAACAGAGAGACGAGAATTAGAGAGACGAGAAACAGAGAGACGAGAATCAGAGAAACAGAGAGACGAGAATCAGAGAAACAGAGAGACGAGAATCAGAGAGACGAGAAACAGAGACGAGAAACAGAGAGACGAGAAACAGAGAGACGAGAATCAGAGAGACGAGAAACAGAGAGACGAGAAACAGACGAGACGAGAAACAGAGAGACGAGAAACAGAGAGACGAGAAACAGAGAGACGAGAGTCAGAGAGACGAGAATCAGAGAGACGAGAAACAGAGAGACGAGAAACAGAGAGACGAGAATCAGAGAGACGAGAATCAGAGACGAGAAACAGAGAGACGAGAAACAGAGAGACGAGAAACAGAGAGACGAGAAACAGAGACGAGAAACAGAGAGACGAGAAACAGAGACGAGAAACAGAGAGACGAGAAACAGAGACGAGAAACAGAGAAACAGAGAGACGAGAAACAGAGAGACGAGAATCAGAGAGACGAGAATCAGAGAGACGAGAATCAGAGACGAGAAACAGAGACGAGAAACAGAGAGACGAGAAACAGAGAGACGAGAAACAGAGAGACGAGAATCAGAGAGACGAGAAACAGAGACGAGAATCAGAGAGACGAGAATCAGAGACGAGAAACAGAGAGACGAGAATCAGAGACGAGAAACAGAGAGACGAGAAACAGAGAAACAGAGAGACGAGAAACAGAGAGACGAGAAACAGAGAGACAAGAAACAGAGAAACAGAGAGACGAGAAACAGAGAGACGAGAAACAGAGACGAGAAACAGAGAGACGAGAAACAGAGACGAGAAACAGAGAGACGAGAAACAGAGAGACGAGAAACAGAGAGACGAGAATCAGAGAGACGAGAATCAGAGAAACAGAGAGACGAGAAACAGAGAGACGAAAAACAGAGAGACGAGAATCAGAGAGATGAGAATCAGAGACGAGAAACAGAGAGACGAGAAACAGAGAGACGAGAAACAGAGAGACGAGAAACAGACGAGACAAGAAACAGAGAGACGAGAAACAGAGACGAGAAACAGAGAGACGAGAAACAGACGAGACGAGAATCAGAGAGACAAGAAACAGAGAGACGAGAATCAGAGAGACGAGAATCAGAGAGACAAGAATCAGAGAAACAGAGAGACGAGAATCAGAGAGACGAGAATCAGAGATGAGAAACAGAGAAACAGAGAGACGAGAAACAGAGAGACGAAAAACAGAGAGACGAGAATCAGAGAGACGAGAATCAGAGACGAGAAACAGAGAGACGAGAAACAGACGAGACGAGAAACAGAGAGACGAGAAACAGACGAGACGAGAAACAGAGAGACGAGAATCAGAGAGACGAGAAACAGAGAGACGAGAAACAGAGACGAGAAACAGAGAGACGAGAAACAGAGACGAGAAACAGAGAGACGAGAAACAGAGAGACGAGAATCAGAGAGACGAGAATCAGAGAAACAGAGAGACGAGAATAAGAGAGACGAGTCTCAGAGACGAGAAACAGAGAGACGAGAAACAGAGAGACGAGAATCAGAGAGACGAGAATCAGAGAAACAGAGAGACGAGAATCAGAGAGACGAGAATCAGAGACGAGAAACAGAGAGACGAGAATCAGAGAGACGAGAATCAGAGAAACAGAGAGACGAGAATCAGAGAGACGAGAATCAGAGACGAGAAACAGAGAGACGAGAAACAGAGACGAGAAACAGAGAGACGAGAAACAGAGAGACGAGAATCAGAGAGACGAGAAACAGAGAGACGAGAAACAGACGAGACGAGAAACAGAGAGACGAGAAACAGAGAGACGAGTAACAGAGAGACGAGAATCAGAGAGACGAGAATCAGAGAGACGAGAAACAGAGACGAGAATCAGAGAGACGGGAATCAGAGAAACAGAGAGACGAGAATCAGAGACGAGAAACAGAGAGACGAGAAACAGAGAGACGAGAATCAGAGACGAGAATCAGAGAGACGAGAAACAGAGAGACGAGAAACAGAGAGACGAGAATTAGAGAGACGAGAAACAGAGAGACGAGAATCAGAGAAACAGAGAGACGAGAATCAGAGAGACGAGAATCAGAGAAACAGAGAGACGAGAATCAGAGAGACGAGAAACAGAGAGACGAGAATCAGAGAGACGAGAATCAGAGAGACGAGAAACAGACGAGAAACAGAGAGACGAGAATCAGAGAGACGAGAAACAGAGAGACGAGATGAGAATCAGAGAGACGAGAAACAGACGAGAAACAGACGAGAAACAGAGAGACTCACGGTCCTACTGTGTTTAAGCATTTTATTATTCGTGATTATAAGGTTAAGATTAGGACATGTTTGAGTTGCTGTGACGCTGGAGTTTAATTTCTCACAAAGAAACAAGAGTAAGACAAAGAGAGAGCAGAGAGAGACCATAGAGGGAGCGACCAGAGAGAGACCAGAGGGAGAGACCAGAGAGAGAGACCAGAGAGAGAGACCAGAGAGAGAGACCAGAGAGAGAGACCAGAGAGAGAGACCAGAGAGAGAGACCAGAGAGAGAGACCAGAGAGCACTGAGAGCGAGACCAGAGAGAGAGAGACCAGAGAGAGAGAGACTAGAGAGAGACCAGAGAGAGAGAAACCAGAGAGAGAGAGACTAGAGCGAGACCAGAGAGAGAAAGACCAGAGAGAGAGAGACTAGAGAGAGACCAGAGAGAGAGAAACCAGAGAGAGAGAGACTAGAGAGAGACCAGAGAGAGAGAGACTAGAGAGAGAGAGAGACTTGAGAGAGACCAGAGAGACCGGAGCGAGTCCTGTCCCTGTGCGGTCGCTGAGCCGCTCACAGTTCAGAGGTGGATGTTGAAAGAGCGGATTGTGCTAGCTAACCCTTGCTAACCTTCGCTAACCCTTGCTAACTCTTGCTAACCCTTGCTATTCCTCGCTAACCTTCGCTAACTCTCGCTAACCCCGCTAACATCCTCCTCATTACCGCAGCTTACGGCGCACGTTGATGTTCAGCGCAGAAGAAGAAGAAGTTTCAGATAACACAGATAAAAATCGCTGAGTCGTCTCGGCCCGAGGCAGAAAGGACGTTTCCAGATTATTCTAATACTCTCTCTTTGTGGATAAAGCAGCTCTTGTTGCGGCTCTTGTTGCGGCTCTTGTTGCGGCTCTTGTTGCGGCGCAGACAAGGAGGTCCTTCTCTGCGCCGCGTTGCCAGATCCTGCGGCAAATCTTTCAAACTGTGATAGTTACGGAAATTAGCGGCGCAAAAATCCACACGCGTCCGTCATCACCGGGATTATTACTGTCTTTGTGGGTTATGAGGGGCTGAGAGAGGACCAGGAGGAGCAGGAGGAGAGGACCAGGACGAGAGAGGGACTGAGGAGAGGACCAGGAGGAGCAGGAGGAGAGAGGGACAAGGGGAGAGGACCAGGAGGAGCAGGAGGAGAGAGGGCAGCGGCAAGGAGAGGACCAGGAGGAGCAGGAGGAGAGGACCAGGACGAGAGAGGGACTGAGGAGAGGACCAGGAGGAGCAGGAGGAGAGAGGGACAAGGGGAGAGGACCAGGAGGAGCAGGAGGAGAGAGGGCAGCGGCAAGGAGCGGACCAGGAGGAGCAGGAGGAGAGGACCAGGACGAGAGAGGGACTGGGGAGAGGACCAGGAGGAGCAGGAGGAGAGGACCAGGACGAGAGAGGGACTGAGGAGAGGACCAGGAGGAGCAGGAGGAGAGAGGGACAAGGGGAGAGGACCAGGAGAAGCAGGAGGAGAGAGGGACAGGGGGAGAGGACCAGGAGGAGCAGGAGGAGAGAGGGACAGGGGGAGAGGACCAGGAGGAGCAGGAGGAGAGAGGGCAGCGGCAAGGAGAGGACCAGGAGGAGCAGGAGGAGAGGACCAGGACGAGAGAGGGACTGAGGAGAGGACCAGGAGGAGCAGGAGGAGAGAGGGACAAGGGGAGAGGACCAGGAGGAGCAGGAGGAGAGAGGGCAGCGGCAAGGAGCGGACCAGGAGGAGCAGGAGGAGAGGACCAGGACGAGAGAGGGACTGGGGAGAGGACCAGGAGGAGCAGGAGGAGAGGACCAGGACGAGAGAGGGACTGAGGAGAGGACCAGGAGGAGCAGGAGGAGAGAGGGACAAGGGGAGAGGACCAGGAGAAGCAGGAGGAGAGAGGGACAGGGGGAGAGGACCAGGAGGAGCAGGAGGAGAGAGGGACAGGGGGAGAGGACCAGGAGGAGCAGGAGGAGAGAGGGCAGCGGCAAGGAGAGGACCAGGAGGAGCAGGAGGAGAGGACCAGGACGAGAGAGGGACTGGGGAGAGGACCAGGAGGAGCAGGAGGAGAGGACCAGGACGAGAGAGGGACTGAGGAGAGGACCAGGAGGAGCAGGAGGAGAGAGGGACAAGGGGAGAGGACCAGGAGAAGCAGGAGGAGAGAGGGACAGGGGGAGAGGACCAGGAGGAGCAGGAGGAGAGAGGGACAGGGGGAGAGGACCAGGAGGAGCAGGAGGAGAGAGGGCAGCGGCAAGGAGAGGACCAGGAGGAGCAGGAGGAGAGGACCAGGACGAGAGAGGGACTGGGGAGAGGACCAGGAGGAGCAGGAGGAGAGGACCAGGACGAGAGAGGGACTGAGGAGAGGACCAGGAGGAGCAGGAGGAGAGAGGGACAAGGGGAGAGGACCAGGAGAAGCAGGAGGAGAGAGGGCAGCGGCAAGGAGAGGACCAGGAGGAGCAGGAGGAGAGGACCAGGACGAGAGAGGGACTGGGGAGAGGACCAGGAGGAGCAGGAGGAGAGGACCAGGACGAGAGAGGGACTGAGGAGAGGACCAGGAGGAGCAGGAGGAGAGAGGGACAAGGGGAGAGGACCAGGAGGAGCAGGAGGAGAGAGGGCAGCGGCAAGGAGAGGACCAGGAGCAGCAGGAGGAGAGGACCAGGACGAGAGAGGGACTGAGGAGAGGACCAGGAGGAGCAGGAGGAGAGAGGGACAAGGGGAGAGGACAGGAGGAGCAGGAGGAGAGAGGGCAGCGGCAAGGAGAGGACCAGGAGGAGCAGGAGGAGAGGACCAGGACGAGAGAGGGACTGGGGAGAGGACCAGGAGGAGCAGGAGGAGAGGACCAGGACGAGAGAGGGACTGAGGAGAGGACCAGGAGGAGCAGGAGGAGAGAGGGACAAGGGGAGAGGACCAGGAGGAGCAGGAGGAGAGAGGGCAGCGGCAAGGAGAGGACCAGGAGGAGCAGGAGGAGAGGACCAGGACGAGAGAGGGACTGGGGAGAGGACCAGGAGGAGCAGGAGGAGAGGACCAGGACGAGAGAGGGACTGAGGAGAGGACCAGGAGGAGCAGGAGGAGAGAGGGACAAGGGGAGAGGACCAGGAGGAGCAGGAGGAGAGAGGGCAGCGGCAAGGAGAGGACCAGGAGGAGCAGGAGGAGAGGACCAGGACGAGAGAGGGACTGAGGAGAGGACCAGGAGGAGCAGGAGGAGAGAGGGACAAGGGGAGAGGACCAGGAGGAGCAGGAGGAGAGAGGGCAGCGGCAAGGAGAGGACCAGGAGGAGCAGGAGGAGAGGACCAGGACGAGAGAGGGACTGGGGAGAGGACCAGGAGGGGCAGGAGGAGAGGACCAGGACGAGAGAGGGACTGAGGAGAGGACCAGGAGGAGCAGGAGGAGAGAGGGACAAGGGGAGAGGACCAGGAGAAGCAGGAGGAGAGAGGGACAGGGGGAGAGGACCAGGAGGAGCAGGAGGAGAGAGGGACAGGGGGAGAGGACCAGGAGGAGCAGGAGGAGAGAGGGCAGCGGCAAGGAGAGGACCAGGAGGAGCAGGAGGAGAGGACCAGGACGAGAGAGGGACTGGGGAGAGGACCAGGAGGAGCAGGAGGAGAGGACCAGGACGAGAGAGGGACTGAGGAGAGGACCAGGAGGAGCAGGAGGAGAGAGGGACAAGGGGAGAGGACCAGGAGGAGCAGGAGGAGAGAGGGCAGCGGCAAGGAGAGGACCAGGAGGAGCAGGAGGAGAGGACCAGGACGAGAGAGGGACTGGGGAGAGGACCAGGAGGAGCAGGAGGAGAGGACCAGGACGAGAGAGGGACTGAGGAGAGGACCAGGAGGAGCAGGAGGAGAGAGGGACAAGGGGAGAGGACCAGGAGGAGCAGGAGGAGAGAGGGCAGCGGCAAGGAGAGGACCAGGAGGAGCAGGAGGAGAGGACCAGGACGAGAGAGGGACTGAGGAGAGGACCAGGAGGAGCAGGAGGAGAGGACCAGGACGAGAGAGGGACTGAGGAGAGGACCAGGAGGAGCAGGAGGAGAGAGGGACAAGGGGAGAGGACCAGGAGGAGCAGGAGGAGAGAGGGCAGCGGCAAGGAGAGGACCAGGAGGAGCAGGAGGAGAGGACCAGGACGAGAGAGGGACTGGGGAGAGGACCAGGAGGAGCAGGAGGAGAGGACCAGGACGAGAGAGGGACTGAGGAGAGGACCAGGAGGAGCAGGAGGAGAGAGGGACAAGGGGAGAGGACCAGGAGGAGCAGGAGGAGAGAGGGACAGGGGGAGAGGACCAGGAGGAGCAGGAGGAGAGAGGGACAGGGGGAGAGGACCAGGAGGAGCAGGAGGAGAGAGGGCAGCGGCAAGGAGAGGACCAGGAGGAGCAGGAGGAGAGGACCAGGACGAGAGAGGGACTGGGGAGAGGACCAGCAGGAGCAGGAGGAGAGGACCAGGACGAGAGAGGGACTGAGGAGAGGACCAGGAGGAGCAGGAGGAGAGAGGGACAAGGGGAGAGGACCAGGAGGAGCAGGAGGAGAGAGGGCAGCGGCAAGGAGAGGACCAGGAGGAGCAGGAGGAGAGGACCAGGACGAGAGAGGGACTGAGGAGAGGACCAGGAGGAGCAGGAGGAGAGAGGGACAAGGGGAGAGGACCAGGAGGAGCAGGAGGAGAGAGGGCAGCGGCAAGGAGAGGACCAGGAGGAGCAGGAGGAGAGGACCAGGACGAGAGAGGGACTGGGGAGAGGACCAGGAGGAGCAGGAGGAGAGGACCAGGACGAGAGAGGGACTGAGGAGAGGACCAGGAGGAGCAGGAGGAGAGAGGGACAAGGGGAGAGGACCAGGAGGAGCAGGAGGAGAGAGGGACAGGGGGAGAGGACCAGGAGGAGCAGGAGGAGAGAGGGACAGGGGGAGAGGACCAGGAGGAGCAGGAGGAGAGAGGGCAGCGGCAAGGAGAGGACCAGGAGGAGCAGGAGGAGAGGACCAGGACGAGAGAGGGACTGGGGAGAGGACCAGGAGGAGCAGGAGGAGAGGACCAGGACGAGAGAGGGACTGAGGAGAGGACCAGGAGGAGCAGGAGGAGAGAGGGACAGGGGGAGAGGACCAGGAGGAGCAGGAGGAGAGAGGGCAGCGGCGAGGAGAGGACCAGGAGGAGCAGGAGGAGAGGACCAGGACGAGAGAGGGACTGGGGAGAGGACCAGGAGGAGCAGGAGGAGAGAGGGACTGGGGAGAGGACCAGGAGGAGCAGGAGGAGAGGACCAGGACGAGAGAGGGACTGGGGAGAGGACCAGGAGGAGCAGGAGGAGAGGACCAGGACGAGAGAGGGACAGGGGGAGAGGACCAGGAGGAGCAGGAGGAGAGAGGGCAGCGGCAAGGAGAGGACCGGGAGGAACAGGAGGAGAGGACCAGGAGGAGAGAGGGACAGGGGGAGAGAGGACCGCGCTGAGAAGGAGGAAAGAAGGCTTCAGCGAGGAGAGGAGAGGACTATAGTGAGCAGGAGGACCACAGTGAGCAGGAGGACCACAGTGAGCCGGAGGACCAAGACGAGGAGAAAACTCAAAATAACTAAAACTACACTTTCCAAATACATATAGATTGATATTTTTTACTTGTCCTGTCTGTGCGCTGCAACACTGAAATTTCCCGACAAATACAGGTTCCCTAATTCCCTTCTCGTGAAGCCTTTATTCTTTCTCCTCTTGGTGACGAAATGCCCGCTCCGACAGCTCGGCCCCCGTCACTCCCCACGCTCCCCGCGGCTACGCTAACATTATCATAATTCAATAAATAACTAAACAACCGTATTCTCGCTCAGTCAGCACCGCCGCTCAATCTGCTGCTCTCTCCTCCCGTCCTCACCCCCTCCCTCACCCCTCCTCACCCCTCCCTCACCCCTCCTCACCCCCCCATACTTCCACTGTCCCATCATCTGTGAACAAATAATGGAATTACATACATTTCCTCTCCGGCTAGCGCGCACCGAAGCATCAAAGTTCAGCGCGGTGATAAGTTGCCTGTGTGTGTGTGTGTGTGTGTGTGTGTGTGTGTGTGTGTGTGTGTGTGTGTGTTTCTGTGTGTGTGTGTGTCTGTCTGTGTGTGTTTCTGTGTCTGTGTGTGTGTGTCTGTGTGTGTGTGTGTGTGTGTCTGTGTGTCTGTGTGTGTGTGTGTGTGTGTGTGTGTGTGTGTGTGTGTGTGTCTGTGTGTGTGTGTGTCTGTGTGTGTGTGTGTGTGTGTGTGTGTGTCTGTGTGTGTTTCTGTGTGTGTGTCTGTGTGTGTTTCTGTGTGTGTGTGTGTCTGTGTGTGTGTGTGTGTATATATGTGTGTGTGTGTGTGTGTGTGTGTGTGTGTGTATATGTGTGTGTATATGTGTGTGTGTGTGTGTGTATATGTGTGTGTGTGTGTATATGTGTGTGTGTGTGTGTGTGTGTTTTCCTATTATGGGCATGTCCTGTTTCCCAGATGGATGGACTGTGCCGGGGGCTCTCTCTCTTCTGTTATTACCTGAATCGATGTCCGTGTCTGTTGCTATTTATGATGCTAGGGCGGCGCGCGGTTCGCTAACACCTCCGACTTGTGTGTGCAAAGTAATAGCAGCAAATAATACATAAATTGGGAATAAAAAGCGTCGCTGGTCGGTTTGAGTAAATATTTGTTTTGTTGCGACGCCGCCTTCACCTCCTCCATAACGGCAACGCGTGACCATAAATAATTTAGCTGTAATAGAATCAGCGTTACCATGGTTACGGACACTGGCACTATCGCTAGTTTTCAGCGGCCGGAAGCTAGATCCCGTCAGACCTCTGAGGCTAAGCAGGGCAGGGCCTGGTTAGTGCCGTGATGGGAGACCGCTGAGAACGGCAGGTGCCACAGTGGGGCGGCTGCGGCTGTAAAGTGCCAAACTGTGGTTGTGTCCTTAGGCAAGACACTTCCCCCACATTAGAATGAGTCTGGTGTGTGTGTGAATGGTTCTGGACTCGGTCTTGTGGTCCCAGGTGGGAGTGAGTAGGAGCTGGGCCCGCTCTCTAGTTTCTCTCTGGTCTCTCTCTGGTCTCTCTCTCTCTCTCGTCTCTCTCTCTGGTCTCTCTTTCTGGTCTCTCTCTCTGGTCTCTCTCTGGTCTCTTTCTGGTCTCTCTCTGGTCTCTCTCTAGTTTCTTTCTGGTCTCTCTCTCTAGTCTCTCTCTGGTCTCTCTCTAGTCTCTCTCTGGTCTCTCTCTGGTCTCTCTCTGGTCTCTCTCTCTAGTCTCTCTCTGGTCTCTCTCTGGTCTCTCTCTCTGGTCTCTCTCTAGTCTCTCTCTGGTCTCTCTCTGGTCTCTCTCTAGTCTCTCTCTCTAGTCTCTATCTGGTCTCTCTCTGGTCTCTGGTCTCTCTCTCTGGTCTCTCTCTAGTCTCTCTCTGGTCTCTCTCTGGTCTCTCTCTAGTCTCTCTCTCTAGTCTCTCTCTGGTCTCTCTCTGGTCTCTCTCTGGTCTCTCTCTGGTCTCTCTCTGGTCTCTCTCTGGTCTCTCTCTCTCTAGTCTCTATCTGGTCTCTCTCTGGTCTCTGGTCTCTCTCTCTGGTCTCTCTCTGGTCTCTCTCTCTAGTCTCTCTCTGGTCTCTCTCTGGTCTCTCTCTCTGGTCTCTCTCTAGTCTCTCTCTGGTCTCTCTCTGGTCTCTCTCTAGTCTCTCTCTCTAGTCTCTATCTGGTCTCTCTCTGGTCTCTGGTGTCTCTCTCTGGTCTCTCTCTAGTCTCTCTCTGGTCTCTCTCTGGTCTCTCTCTAGTCTCTCTCTCTAGTCTCTCTCTGGTCTCTCTCTGGTCTCTCTCTGGTCTCTCTCTGGTCTCTCTCTAGTCTCTCTCTCTAGTCTCTATCTGGTCTCTCTCTGGTCTCTGGTCTCTCTCTCTGGTCTCTCTCTGGTCTCTCTCTGGTCTCTTTCTGGTCTCTCTCTGTTCTCTCTCTGGTCTCTCTCTCTAGTCTCTCTCTGGTCTCTCTCTGGTCTCTCTCTCTAGTCTCTCTCTGGTCTCTCTCTGGTCTCTGGTCTCTCTCTATGGTCTCTCTCTGGTCTCTCTCTGGTCTCTCTCTGGTCTCTCTCTAGTCTCTCTCTGGCCTGGGTCCTGTGGATTCTCCTCTGACTCTAACCTCAGTATTTTTAGACCGTGTAGAGAGTAGAAAAGCCGTGTTCTTCTGGTCTCTCTGCTCTGGGTTATTTTTGTGTTTCCAGAGCGTGGTGTGTGCCTCGCTGCGGCTGCACCGGGAACTCTGGGATTATTTCATTTGTAACCTGATATGAAAGCGGGAAAAAGCCTGAAGAGGGTTTTCTTCAATGGCAGCTGTCGGTGACGGGGGCTGAGAAAAGGACATTTAATTGTTTATAACAGAGTTTAAAATATAAACAAGACTTTTCTAACACATGGTTTGACCTCTGACATCTCACTGGTTCACAGAGTTTATATGTGTGTACTCCAACAACATCTCTTTGGTCTCTCTCTGGTCTCTCTCTCTGGTCTCTCTCTGGTCTCTCTCTGGTCTCTCTCTGGTCCCTCTCTGGTCTCTCTCTGGTCTCTCTCTGGCCTCTCTCTGGTCTCTCTCTGGTCTCTCTCTGGTCTCTCTCTGGTCTCTCTCTGGTCTCTCTCTGGTCTCTCTCTGGTCCCTCTCTGGTCTCTCTCTGGTCTCTCTCTGGCCTCTCTCTGGTCTCTCTCTGGTCTCTCTCTGGTCTCCCTCTGGTCTCTCTCTGGTCTCTCTCTCTGGTCTCTCTCTGGTCTCTCTCTCTGGTCTCTCTCTCTGGTCTCTCTCTGGTCTCTCTCTGGTCTCTCTCTCTGGTCTCTCTGGTCTCTCTCTGGTCTCTCTCTGGTCTCTCTCTGGTCTCTCTCTGGTCTCTCTCTGGTCTCTCTCTGGCCTCTCTCTGGTCTCCCTCTGGTCTCTCTCTGGTCTCTCTCTGGTCTCTCTCTGGCCTCTCTCTGGTCTCTCTCTGGCCTCTCTCTGGTCTCTCTCTGGTCTCTCTCTCTGGTCTCTCTCTGGTCTCTCTCTGGCCTCTCTCTGGTCTCTCTCTGGCCTCTCTCTGGTCTCTCTCTGGTCTCTCTCTGGTCTCTCTCTGGTCTCTCTCTGGTCTCTCTCTGGTCTCTCTCTGGTCTCTCTCTGGTCTCTCTCTGGTCTCTCTCTGGTCTCTCTCTGGTCTCTCTCTCTGGTCTCTCTCTCTGGTCTCTCTCTGGTCTCTCTGGTCTCCCTCTGGTCTCTCTCTGGTCTCCCTCTGGTCTCTCTCTGGTCTCCCTCTGGTCTCTCTCTGGTCTCCCTCTGGTCTCTCTCAGAGACCAGAGGGAAGCCAGAGAGAGAGAGACCAGAGAGAGACCAGAGAGAGACCACAGAGAGACCAGAGAGAGGCCAGAGGGAGACCAGAGAGAGACCAGAGAGAGACCAGAGAGAGGCCAGAGGGAGACCAGAGAGAGACCAGAGAGAGACCAGAGAGAGACCAGAGAGAGACCAGAGGGAGACCAGAGAGAGACCAGAGAGAGACCAGAGGGAAGCCAGAGAGAGAGACCAGAGAGAGACCAGAGAGAGACCAGAGAGAGGCCAGAGGGATGCCAGAGAGAGACCAGAGAGAGACCAGAGAGAGACCAGAGAGAGGCCAGAGAGAGACCAGAGAGAGACCAGAGAGAGATCAGAGAGAGACCAGAGAGAGACCAGAGGGAAGCCAGAGGGAGACCAGAGAGAGACCAGAGAGAGACCAGAGAGAGACCAGAGAGAGACCAGAGAGAGAGACCAGAGAGAGAGACCAGAGAGAGACCAGAGAGAGACCAGAGAGAGACCAGAGAGAGACCAGAGGGAAGCCAGAGGGAAGCCAGAGAGAGACCAGAGAGAGACCAGAGAGAGACCAGAGAGAGACCAGAGAGAGACCAGAGGGAAGCCAGGGGAGACCAGAGAGAGACCAGAGAGAGACCAGAGAGAGACCAGAGAGAGAGACCAGAGAGAGACCAGAGAGAGACCAGAGAGAGACCAGAGAGAGAGACCAGAGAGAGAGACCAGAGAGAGAGACCAGAGAGAGACCAGAGAGAGACCAGAGAGAGACCAGAGGGAAGCCAGAGGGAAGCCAGAGGGAAGCCAGAGAGAGACCAGAGAGAGACCAGAGAGAGACCAGAGAGAGACCAGAGAGAGACCAGAAGGAGACCAGAGAGAGACCAGAGAGACCAGAGAGAGACCAGAGGGAAGCCAGAGGGAGACCAGAGAGAGACCAGAGAGAGACCAGAGAGAGACCAGAGAGAGACCAGAGAGAGACCAGAGAGAGAGACCAGAGAGAGACCAGAGAGAGACCAGAGAGAGACCAGAGAGAGACCAGAGAGAGACCAGAGGGAAGCCAGAGGGAAGCCAGAGAGAGACCAGAGAGAGACCAGAGAGAGACCAGAGAGAGACCAGAGAGAGACCAGAGAGAGACCAGAGAGAGCCCAGAGGGAAGCCAGAGAGAGAGACCAGAGAGAGACCAGAGAGAGACCAGAGAGAGACCAGAGAGAGACCAGAGAGAGACCAGAGAGAGACCAGAGAGAGACAAGAGGGAGACCAGAGAGAGACCAGAGAGAGACCAGAGAGAGAGACCAGAGAGAGACCAGAGAGAGACCAGAGAGAGACCAGAGAGAGGCCAGAGGGAGACCAGAGAGAGACCAGAGAGAGACCAGAGAGAGAGACCAGAGAGAGACCAGAGAGAGACCAGAGAGAGACCAGAGAGAGACCAGAGAGAGACCAGAGGGAAGCCAGAGGGAAGCCAGAGAGAGACCAGAGAGAGACCAGAGAGAGACCAGAGAGAGACCAGAGAGAGACCAGAGAGAGACCAGAGAGAGACCAGAGAGAGACCAGAGAGAGCCCAGAGGGAAGCCAGAGAGAGAGACCAGAGAGAGACCAGAGATAGACCAGAGAGAGACCAGAGAGAGACCAGAGAGAGACCAGAGAGAGACCAGAGAGAGACAAGAGGGAGACCAGAGAGAGACCAGAGAGAGACCAGAGGGAAGCCAGAGAGAGAGACCAGAGAGAGACCAGAGAGAGACCAGAGAGAGACCAGAGAGAGGCCAGAGGGAGACCAGAGAGAGACCAGAGAGAGACCAGAGAGAGAGACCAGAGAGAGACCAGAGAGAGAGACCAGAGAGAGACCAGAGAGAGACCAGAGAGAGACCAGAGAGAGGCCAGAGGGAGACCAGAGGGAGACCAGAGAGAGACCAGAGAGTTCCAGCCTCTCCCTCCAGTGGGATGCACATTAGCGTCTACAACAGAGAAAGACACATTACTAATAATAAGACCGAGATACAGTTTGATCCAAGCCACGCATCCAAATGTGTCATGTACATTTCTCCATCACAGATCTATAAAGTTTATCTTTTATTCTCTGCTGCTGAAGTACAACAAACACATCTGTAAATATATCTGAACCAAGTGTCATTATAGCTCCAGACTTTTGGTATTCATTTAATTCTATTTTCTCAAATATTAGACTCTGATGTGTGCGTCTGAGTCTATTTCCTTCTTTCTCTGCTGTAATGTGCAACACTGACATCCCCCACTGAGGGAGGAGGAATATCTGATCTTATAGAAGACAGTGCCACGCTTTCTCCGACAAACTACAAGCAGCAAATTCAGCACAAACTCTTGACGTCACCGACACCGACCTACAACACCCGCCTCCCCCGCTCTCTGATTGGTCGGAGGAGATTCAACCGAGGAAACTGCAGCCACTAGGATCAGACCCAGACGTACATGTAGGAAATGACCATGGACCAGAGTTTACACATGGTAAGACCAGACGTACATGTAGGAGATGATCATGGACCAGAGTTTACACATGGTAAGACCAGACGTACATGTAGGAGATGATCATGGACCAGAGTTTACACATGGTAAGACCAGACGTACATGTAGGAAATGACCATGGACCAGAGTTTACACATGGTAAGACCAGACGTACATGTAGGAAATGACCATGGACCAGAGTTTACACATGGTAAGACCAGACGTACATGTAGGAAATGACCATGGACCAGAGTTTACACATGGTAAGACCAGACGTACATGTAGGAAATGACCATGGACCAGAGTTTACACATGGTAAGACCAGACGTCATGGTATAAAAGTATAAATGATCACATTTGTCTTTGGGGCTAATGCAGCTTCCTGGGTGTCCCGTTTTACGAAACACCAGTTTAACAAATACCATGTGTGACTTGTGTGACCATAAAGGTCTCACCAGTTGTTTGTAGTCGAGCTGCTGTCGGATGAGCTTGTCCTCGCTGAGGGAGTAGCGAGCCTCCCCCGTGATGGCGTCTATCGGCCCCTTCTCCATCTGCTGCTTTATGGCACAGTACAGCATGAACAGGGGCTCTCCAGCACACTCCTGCAGACACACAACCACAGACAGTTACACACTCCTGCAGACACACAACCACAGACAGTTACACACTCCTGCAGACACACAACCACAGACAGTTACACACTCCTGCAGACACACAACCACAGACAGTTACACACTCCTGCAGACACACAACCACAGACACAGTTACACACTCCTGCAGACACACAACCACAGACAGTTACACACTCCTGCAGACACACAACCACAGACAGTTACACACTCCTGCAGACACACAACCACAGACACAGTTACACACTCCTGCAGACACACAACCACAGACACAGTTACACACTCCTGCAGACACACAACCACAGACAGTTACACACTCCTGCAGACACACAACCACAGACACAGTCACAGACAGAGTTACAGACAGAGTTACAGACAGAGTTACAGACACAGTTACAGACAGAGTTACAGACAGAGTTACAGACAGAGTTACAGACAGAGTTACAGACACAGTTACAGACACAGTTACAGACACAGTCACAGACAGAGTTACAGACAGAGTTACAGACAGAGTTACAGACACAGTTACAGACAGTTACAGACAGTTACAGACAGAGTTACAGACACAGTTACAGACACAGTTACAGACAGTTACAGACAGAGTTACAGACAGTTACAGACACAGTTACAGACAGTTACAGACAGAGTTACAGACAAAGTTACAGACACAGTTACAGACACAGTTACAGACACAGTTACAGACACAGTTACAGACAGTTACAGACACAGTTACAGACACAGTTACAGACAGAGTTATAGACACAGTTACAGACACAGTTACAGACAGTCACAGACAGAGTTACAGACACAGTTACAGACAGAGTTACAGACACAGTTACAGACAGAGTTATAGACACAGTTACAGACACAGTTACAGACAGAGTTACAGACAGAGTTACAGACAGAGTTACAGACAGAGTTACAGACACAGTTACAGACAGAGTTACAGACAGAGTTACAGACACAGTTACAGACACAGTTACAGACAGAGTTACAGACAGAGTTACAGACAGAGTTACAGGAAAAGTCACAGACAGAGTTACAGACACAGTCACAGACAGAGTTACAGACAGAGTTACAGACACAGTCACAGACAGAGTTACAGTGTTACAGACACAGTCACAGACAGAGTTACAGACAGAGTTACAGACACAGTCACAGACAGAGTTAGACAGTTACAGAGTTACAGACACAGTCACAGACAGTCACAGACAGAGTTACAGACAGAGTTACAGACACAGTCACAGACAGAGTTACAGACAGAGTTACAGACACAGTCACAGACAGAGTCACAGACAGAGTTACAGACAGAGTTACAGACAGAGTTACAGACAGAGTCACAGACAGAGTTACAGACAGAGTTACAGACAGAGTCACAGACAGAGTTACAGACAGAGTTACAGACAGAGTTACAGACAGAGTCACAGACAGAGTTACAGACAGAGTTACAGACAGTCACAGACAGAGTTACAGACAGAGTTACAGACACAGTCACAGACAGAGTCACAGACACAGTTACAGACGGTCGTTATTGAGAGAATCACAGGATGTCTGTACCTTTAGGAAGCGATGCAGGAGGAAAGTGAACCAGTTCGTCAGCATCTTCTCAGCCACAGACTCAGTCCTGCAACAGACGCACAACAGACGTCGTTAAGAAGGATTCAGAGATTAAAAACAAACTGATATTTTCATATTAAACCAATTCAATGTGAAATCAGACCATTATTTTAAGTTTAATATTTTGAGGTCATTAACATTTGTGTTGATATTTTAAAGAAAGTATTTCCTGATGTTGTTCATGTGAATCTTGTGGGAGTTTATCTGCTGCTTTCTCTGTCTCTGAGTCACAGATTTTAAAATGTCGCCAAAAATGTATTTGTCAATCTTTCCTTTGGTTTTATCCACACTTTCTCTTTGATCTGACTGTGTTTGAACTCTTTGCTCCAATCTATGAAAGTTATTTTAGTTTTTGAGGTAAGACCTTGGAACGCGGCCCACTTGTTGAAAATCATTGAACTAAACACTGACTTTGGAGAGAGCAGGATTTGGAGGTTGCCAGTCAAAGTGAAAAATCATCTAATTTAAGGAAACGGGACAGAAGTGGATCTACTGCTGCAACCCACCTGTTCAGAACTATGTCCAAACTCAGGCCCGCGGGCCAACTGCGGCCCTCTGCTGCTAACACAACGTCCCCTTTGAGGCACTTTGACAGTGTCATCCAGCCAACTTCAGCTCCACCAATACAGTCATCATACCTTGTTATAAATCTCAGACTCTGGAATCCTGTCTCAACGACTGTTGTTATTTACTGACATTTGTTTATGATTGTGTCACAAAATTCCAAATCAATGCAGCTGTGAAATAATAAGAACGTATCAGAACCCATTTTAAAACCAGAATCCAGTCAGTCCAGCTTCAATTCAGATTTTAAATCTAGGTTTTTGGCCCCAGGTTAAGTCTGATGAACTAAATTGGCCCTCTAACTAAAAAGTGGATTAGGATTAGCACTGTTTTAGCCTGGCCATAGCCATCTGTACACTCCGCTCAATCATCATTTCACTGCATGTAGCGTCTGGGTCTGGTCCCTGTGTTAGCGAATACAATCAGTCGTATTTCGACCAGCTACTCAGAGAGCGTGTTGTAGGTCGGTGCCGGTGACGTCAAGAGTTTGCGTCGAACGGGCAGGTTGTAGTTTGGCGAAGAATGCGATAGTAAAGTATTCTGGTCTGGTTCTATCAAGAAACTGAAGCAGGAGCAAAAGGAATGTTTAGCAAATGTAATCGCTGGTAAAGATTGTGGCGCTACTCCCCACGGGCTCCGTTAGCGGCAAAGGAGATGGCCAAAGCTAGGCTAAATGCTAAATGCTAACAACTCACTCGGGCGCACTACATACGTCACAGTAAACTCAGATCCAATGGTTTCAATCTGCAAAAGGAGTTAGCCCCTCCCACCTGTTCACGGAGTCAATGGAGCAAACCCAGACCTTAGTATGAAATGAAATTTGTACTATGGTGTGGTACAACCAGGCTAGCACTGTTTATTTTAGCCCCGTAAAGCCTTTTAGAGTGACTACTCCAGAATAATGTAATATTACTACTATCAATAAACCCATTTCAGTGGTTTGTAACTTGTTGTGTACGAAATGAAAAGTTAAAACTAAAACTCTGGTGAGTGAGTAACAAAGTTCACCGGCGGAGCAGCAGTTTGGGATGGTTCTTGTTCTCTAGATTCTTCTCGATCAGATCGGCCAAAAGTTGCTTCAGAACCACAGTCGCATATTCCATTCGACCCTGGACGACAAAAGATCAAACATGTTTTATGTTTGTGTTTTTAGAAGAGACGGAAGTGAGGGAGAAGAAAACACTGAAAGAACTGTACGGACAGTGGGGATGAAGGAGAGATGGATAATGGAGAGACTGATACTGGTATTCTGTCGATACCATAGACTTGTGCTTGTACTCATACCATGGGACCCGATACTGGCAACCGATACCCACATTTTTTATTTACATAAGCGTCACGACAGCAGACAACTGTGCAGGTGTTGCCATGGTGATCTCCTAATGTCTGCAGCAATAAAGCAAGCTAGCGGTTAGCAGGCTAGCGGCAAGGAGGCTACCAGCAAGCAAGCTATTGGGAAGCAAGCTATCGGGGAACAGGCTAGCGGGGAGCAGGTTAGCGGGGAGCAGGTTAGCGGTTAGCAGGCTAGCGGCAAGGAGGTTACCGGCAAGCAAGCTATTGGGAAGTAGGCTAGCGGGAAGCAGGCTAGCGGGAAGCAGGCTAGCGGGAAGCAGGCTAGCGGGAAGCAGGCTAGCGGGAAGCAGGCTGGCGGGAAGCAGGCTAGCGGGGAGCAGGTTAGCGGTTAGCAGGCTAGCGGCAAGGAGGTTACCGGCAAGCATGCTATTGGGAAGCAAGCTATCGGGGAGCAGGCTAGCGGTTAGCAGGCTAGCGGCAAGGAGGTTACCGGCAAGCATGCTATTGGGAAGCAAGCTATCGGGGAGCAGGCTAGCGGGGAGCAGGCTAGCGGTTAGCAGGCTAGCGGCAAGGAGGTTTCCGGCAAGGAGGTTACCGGCAAGCATGCTATCGGGAAGTAGGCTAGCGGGAAGCAGGCTAGCGGGAAGCAGGCTAGCGGGAAGCAGGCTAGCGGGAAGCAGGCTAGCGGGAAGCAGGCTAGCGGGAAGCAGGCTAGCGGGAAGCAGGCTGGCGGGAAGCAGGCTAGCGGGGAACGGACAAGATGACGACCTTATGGCAGTTTATCAAAGTAAACGAGAGTGACAGAGTAAAGCAGATTGGGCAGTGTGTAAAAGACAAAACTGTCACGAGGTCCAAAACAAACACGTATAAAACCAGCAACTGAAATAAAATCACTTTGCTAGCACTGGAGCTAGCACTGGAGCTAGCACTGGAGCTAATAATATATTGTATGGTTTAAAAGGCAGCCAGGTCCATCAGAGCTCACCTGCAGCGCGGCCATGAGCAGCGACGCCACGTTCCCGCGGTCCCTCATGGAGAAGGACCTTTGACCTTCCAGCGTGTGGATGAACGTCAACAAAAACATCTTATTGTTCAGGAGTTGAGAGAACAGACGCAGCGCCTTCTCCACGTTAGCAGGAGACTAGAAACGAGAGGCAGGCTGTTTAGATCCGGAGTCTTACCCAGGACCGAGACCGAGACCAACAGGCCCAGACTCACATCCAGTTCCTTGAGGACCGGGTGCTCCTCGATTCCCGGGAACATGACTCTCATCGTGTAGTTACGATATTCCAAAAAGGGGATCTTGACTCCGTCCATGTCGTTGGTGAGCTCCTGGATGTCCGTCTGCAGCTCCGCGAAGGCTGGAAGACCGACAGGACACAACGTCTGTGAGTGACACTGCAGCTCCAGCCCGGACCACAGCCAGGAAGTCGTCATCATCATCATCATCATCATCATCATCATCATCATCATCATCATCATCATCATCATCATCATCATCATCATCATCATCATCATCATCATCATCATCATCATCATCATCATCATAATAATAATCAGTTTTATTCAGCACTTTTCAGGACTCTCAAAGTCTCTTCGCATCATTCTTCTCTCTCTCCAAACACGGTGGTGATAAACTGCTGTAGCCACAGCTGCCCTGGGGCACACTGACAGAAGCGAGGCAACCAGTCTGTGCCATCAGCCCCTCCCACCACCACCAACCATTCACACACACACCAGACTCATTCTACTGTGGGGGAAGTGTCTTGCCTAAGGATCAGAGAGAGACCAGAGAGAGACCAGAGAGAGACCAGAGAGAGACCAGAGAGAGACCAGAGAGAGACCAGAGAGAGACCAGAGAGAGAGACAAGAGAGAGACCAGAGAGAGACCAGAGAGAGACCAGAGAGAGAGACAAGAGAGAGAGACCAGAGAGAGACCAGAGAGAGGCCAGAGAGAGACCAGAGAGAGAGACAAGAGAGAGAGACCAGAGAGAGACCAGAGAGAGACCAGAGAGAAACCAGAGAGAGGCCAGAGAGAGGCCAGAGAGAGAGACCAGAGAGACCAGAGAGAGGCCAGAGAGAGACCAGAGAGAGACCAGAGAGAGACCAGAGAGAGACCAGAGAGAGACCAGAGAGAGAGACCAGAGAGAGACCAGAGAGAGACCAGAGAGAGACCAGAGAGAAACCAGAGAGAGGCCAGAGAGAGAACCAGAGAGAGAGACCAGAGAGACCAGAGAGAGAGCCAGAGAGAGACCAGAGAGAGACCAGAGAGAGACCAGAGAGAGACCAGAGAGAGACCAGAGAGAGACCAGAGAGAGACCAGAGAGAGACCAGAGAGAGACCAGAGAGAGACCAGAGAGAAACCAGAGAGAGGCCAGAGAGAGACCAGAGAGAGAGACCAGAGAGACCAGAGAGAGAGCCAGAGAGAGACCAGAGAGAGACCAGAGAGAGACCAGAGAGAGACCAGAGAGAGACCAGAGAGAGACCAGAGAGAGACCAGAGAGAAACCAGAGAGAGGCCAGAGAGAGACCAGAGAGAGAGACCAGAGAGACCAGAGAGAGGCCAGAGAGAGACCAGAGAGAGACCAGAGAGAGACCAGAGAGAGACCAGAGAGAGACCAGAGAGAGGCCAGAGAGAGACCAGAGAGAGACCAGAGAGAGACCAGAGAGAGACCAGAGAGAGACCAGAGAGAGACCAGAGAGAGACCAGAGAGAGAGACAAGAGAGAGAGACCAGAGAGAGACCAGAGAGAGAGACAAGAGAGAGAGACCAGAGAGAGACCAGAGAGAGACCAGAGAGAGACCAGAGAGAGGCCAGAGAGAGACCAGAGAGAGAGACCAGAGAGAGACCAGAGAGAGAGACCAGAGAGAGAGACCACCAGAGAGAGACCAGAGAGAGACCAGAGAGAGACCAGAGAGAGACCAAAGAGAGACCAGAGAGAGAGACCAGAGAGAGACCAGAGAGAGAGACCAGAGAGAGACCAGAGAGAGGCCAGAGAGAGACCAGAGAGAGACCAGAGAGAGAACAGAGAGAGAGACAAGAGAGAGAGACCAGAGAGAGACCAGAGAGAGACCAGAGAGAGACCAGAGAGAGAGACCAGAGAGAGACCAGAGAGAGAGACCAGAGAGAGACCAGAGAGAGAGACCAGAGAGAGACCAGAGAGAGACCAGAGAGAGACCAGAGAGAGACCAGAGAGAGACCAGAGAGAGACCAGAGAGAGACCAGAGAGAGACCAGAGAGAGACCAGAGAGAGGCCAGAGAGAGGCCAGAGAGAGACCAGAGAGAGAGACCAGAGAGAGACCAGAGAGAGACCAGAGAGAGGCCAGAGAGAGACCAGAGAGAGAGACCAGAGAGAGACCAGAGAGAGACCAGAGAGAGACCAGAGAGAGACCAGAGAGAGACCAGAGAGAGACCAGAGAGAGACCAGAGAGAGACCAGAGAGAGACCAGAGAGAGACATAGAGGAGAGATATGAGGGAGATATATGGTCTAGATATAGGGATAGATATGGGAATATAATATGTATATATATGTATCTCTCTATGGTATAAATAGAGAAAATGCGAGATATGGTATAAATAGGGATATATATGGATATATAGTATAGAGATATTATATCTAGGTATATAGAAATACTGGAGAGAGATGTATAGATATGGTATAGTGCTGTCTAAGATATGATATAGAGATGTATATGGGCTCTATCTAGTACTCGCTCTGGTCTCTCTCTGTCTCTCTCTTCTGGTCTCTCTCTGGTCCTACTAGCTAGGGTGTCTATCCGTACGATTTCTTCTATCTCTCTGGTCTCCACATATGTATAACTATGAATCGAGATGGAGCAATAGGGTAGATCTATGGTAGATCGATGGAGAGAATCGGATATATATGGGATAGAGAAGTAGGGTATATATATGGTAGAGATATGGGATAGTGATGGTAGAGATATATGTACTATATTATAGAAATAGGGCGAAAGATGGGACAAGAGGGATAAGATGTATAATGAAGATGTATAGTTCTGTATAGCTCTCTGGTCTCCGCGGTCTCCCTCGTGGCCTCGCTCTGGTCTCCCCTGGTATAATATCTGGTCTCCCTCTGGTCTCCCCTCTGTCTCGTCTCCATGTCTCTCTCGGGTCTCGCTCTCTGTATAGCTCTTATCTTTATGGATCAGAGATATGGTATCACAGAGGTATCTATCTGGTCGATATCTGGTCTAGATCTAGATCTATGGAATTCGAGGGTATCGATATGGTCTATATAGAGGGGATAAGAGGGATAGAGATGGTGGAGAGTAGTCTATATAGAGGGGAGAAGATAGGGATAAAGAGGGTAAAGATGGAGAAAGAGATAGCGAATGGAAGATGTATAGAATGGTGTGGGTATGGTTAAAATGAAAGAAATTTGATTTATATATGAATAAGATATGAAAAAAAAAAGAACAGCCTGGAGGGCGGGGCAACAGCGGCGCGGGGGGAGGGGGCGGGGCTTCCACTCAGCTCAGCCAATCGGAGGTCACGGCCGTGCGTCAGCTGATCGCAGGCTACAGGGAGTCCGCCGCCTTTCTCCTGCGCTCGGCCGACGAGCTCGAGAACCTCATCCTGCAGCAAAACTGAAGGTTCATGTTTTTAACCTGTTTTTAAACGTGTTTTTCAATTTGCCGCCATTTTGAGACCGGGACCAAGAGGCGGCGAATCATTTCTAATCATCAAAAGAGAAGAAGAGACAGACTTTTCCCGCCTCACAATCAGAGCTGCAGACCGCGCAGATCCAAGATGGCGCAGATCCAAGATGGCGCAGATCCAAGATGGCGGATGCAGATTTCCAGATCAACCCTCACTGTGGACCATCGCCGCCTTTGATTCGTCCAAATGACTAAAAACATAAAAAGTAGAATAACTTTTCTGGGTTTGTTTCCGCCTCAAAGACTGAAGAAAACTGAGACTTATTCCACTTTTTGGGGTTTTTTGAAAATATAAAAAGTTTGTTTTTGGCTTGTACATAAGCTGTGTTTAATAGCACTTCCCCCCCCCCCTCAGGCTAAACCAGGGAGACACTATTATGACTTACAGTTCCCATATTGTGCCACATGGTTTTTGTTCTTTTCAAATCAAACATGTTCTTAAAGGGCAGCGACGTGTTTTCCGCTGGTTTAATTATCAAACAGGAAGTAGAACCGACAGAACTGATGACATCACAGTGGGCGGATGTATAATTTTAACACAAGTTAAAAAACAACAATATTTTCTGGTCCTTGGAAAAATGTAAAGGTTTATTCTTTTTCTTTCATTTGTGAATGTTCACAGACGGACAATCCTGTGTTTATGTGATGTCTTTGTCCATGATATGAGCCATATAAGGATCGACCAATCAGAGGCCTTCATTCAGGGGGAAACTCCAGTTTGCCTTAGCAACCGTCTTAGCAACACGTCTGCTTCTGTTACGCCCATATAAGGAAACTGGCTCCAGCTTATGTTCAAATCAGCTTCTTCTGCATCAAGGCTAACACTGTGATGTCACACTGTGATGTCACACTGTGATGTCACACTGTGATGTCACACTGTGGTGTTGTCACACTGTGGTGATGTCACACTGTGATGTCACACTCAGTATAAAGTCTGTGGTAACACCCCTAGTGTGATGTCATCAACTGCAACCAGGAAGTCCAATCACAATCTGGAAAAAACAACCAATTGTTTTTTTTACTGTACGCTAACATTAGCCAACATTTTACTGTACGCTAACATTAGCCAACAGTTTACTGTACGCTAACATTAGCCAACATTTTACTGTACGCTAACATTAGCCAACAGTTTACTGTACGCTAACATTAGCCAACAGTTTACTGTACGCTAACATTAGCCAACATTTTACTGTACGCTAACATTAGCCAACATTTTACTGTACGCTAACATTAGCCAACAGTTTACTGTACGCTAACATTAGCCAACATTTTACTGTACTCTAACATTAGCCAACAGTTTACTGTACTCTAACATTAGCCAACAGTTTACTGTACGCTAACATTAGCCAACAGTTTACTGTACGCTAACATTAGCCAACAGTTTACTGTACGCTAACATTAGCCAACAGTTTACTGTACGCTAACATTAGCCAACAGTTTACTGTACGCTAACATTAGCCAACATTTTACTGTACTCTAACATTAGCCAACAGTTTACTGTACGCTAACATTAGCCAACATTTTACTGTACTCTAACATTAGCCAACAGTTTACTGTACTCTAACATTAGCCAACAGTTTACTGTACGCTAACATTAGCCAACAGTTTACTGTACGCTAACATTAGCCAACAGTTTACTGTACGCTAACATTAGCCAACATTTTACTGTACTCTAACATTAGCCAACAGTTTACTGTACTCTAACATTAGCCAACAGTTTACTGTACGCTAACATTAGCCAACAGTTTACTGTACGCTAACATTAGCCAACAGTTTACTGTACTCTAACATTAGCCAACAGTTTACTGTACTCTAACATTAGCCAACAGTTTACTGTACGCTAACATTAGCCAACAGTTTACTGTACTCTAACATTAGCCAACAGTTTACTGTACTCTAACATTAGCCAACAGTTTACTGTACTCTAACATTAGCCAACAGTTTACTGTACTCTAACATTAGCCAACAGTTTACTGTACTCTAACATTAGCCAACACGTCAGGACCCTTTAAAGTCTGTATCCATGTTTCCGTGTTAAAATGGCCACTGAAAAACGTGTCTTGTTCAAAGATATAAATATTTATTTCCTACACGTCGCAGTCCCCTCCGTGGTCAGCAGGGGGCGACGTCCTCAAGCCATTCTCTATGCACTGAATCAGGGCCATAACAATGTGAATTCTTTTTGTTTTTTCCCAGTTCCTTTTGGTTCTTATTTGGTGAAATGGAAGCAGAATATGGGAGCTTTGACTAGAGCTTATGCATCTACAACCACCATGAAATACCTCAGACCAAACCTGCCAAGACCCCCTCAGTCTGTGGAGGTCCGGCAGAGGGGGACCAATCACAACGCGCCGCTCTTTTTTACTTTTCTCACTCTTTGTGTCGCTGTGTTTGGTTCTGGACTCTACAGCGACAAAACCTCAGCTCAGACCTGGACCTAAACCTGGACCTAAACCTGGACCTGGACCTGGACCTGGACCTGGACCTGGACCTGGACCTACTCCGAAGTCTTAACTGTGTCCTTCTTATGCTACTCTCTGATGACGGTGTTTTCCTGCTGCTGCTGCTGCTATTTTTGTGATTATTTTGTCGTTTTTTAAATGAAAAAACTGGACCTTTCTGCCATAAACAACGTCAACCTCAAACGGAACCAGGACGTTCCAGACTTTGATCGCCAAAACCAACCTAGCTCCAAGTCAAAGCCAGACAGGTTCAGCCCAGCCTGGTCTGGTCTTTGTCTGGTCTCTCTCTGGTCTCTGGTCTCTCTCTAGTCTCTCTCTGGTCTCTCTCTGATCTCTCTCTGGTCTCTGGTCTCTCTCTAGTCTCTCTCTGGTCTCTCTCTGGTCTCTCTCTAGTCTCTCTCTGGTCTCTCTCTGATCTCTCTCTCTCTCTGGTCTCTCTCTGGTCTCTCTCTGGTCTCTCTCTGGTCTCTCTCTGGTTTCTCTCTGGTCTCTCTCTCTGGTCTCTCTCTCTGGTCTCTCTCTCTGGTCTCTCTCTGGTCTCTCTCTGGTCTCTCTCTCTGGTCTCTCTCTGGTCTCTCTCTCTGGTCTCTCTCTGGTCTCTCTCTCTGGTCTCTCTCTGGTCTCTCTCTCTGGTCTCTCTCTGGTCTCTCTCTCTGGTCTCTCTCTGGTCTCTCTCTGGTCTCTCTCTGGTCTCTCTCTGGTCTCTCTCTGGTCTCTCTCTCTGGTCTCTCTCTGGTCTCTCTCTCTGGTCTCTCTCTGGTCTCTCTCTGGTCTCTCTCTCTGGTCTCTCTCTGGTTTCTCTCTGGTCTCTCTCTCTGGTCTCTCTCTCTGGTCTCTCTCTGGTCTCTCTCTGGTCTCTCTCTCTGGTCTCCCTCTGGTCTCTCTCTGGTCTCTCTCTCTGGTCTCTCTCTGGTCTCTCTCTGGTCTCTCTCTCTGGTCTCTCTCTGGTCTTGTTGGGCTTGTATCGTGTTCATTTATTTACTGTGCACTGCAAAAAAGGAATAATTTCTGCTCGTGTGAAAATGGCTCGAGTTTCAAAGTCAAGACTGAGGCTGTAGACCCAGGACTGAGACTGTAGACCCAGGACTGAGGCTGTAGACCCAGGACTGAGACTGTAGACCCAGGACTGAGGCTGTAGACCCAGGACTGAGGCTGTAGACCCAGGACTGAGGCTGTAGACCCAGGACTGAGGCTGTAGACCCAGGACTGAGGCTGTAGACCCAGGACTGAGGCTGCAGACCCAGGGCTGAGGCTGTAGACCCAGGACTGAGGCTGTAGACCCAGGACTGAGGCTGTAGACCCAGGACTGAGGCGGTAGACCCAGGACTGAGGCTGTAGACCCAGGACTGAGGCTGTAGACCCAGGACTGAGGCTGTAGACCCAGGACTGAGGCGGTAGACCCAGGACTGAGGCTGTAGACCCAGGACTGAGGCTGTAGACCCAGGACTGAGGCTGTAGACCCAGGACTGAGGCTGTAGACCCAGGACTGAGGCTGTAGACCCAGGACTGAGGCTGTAGACCCAGGACTGAGGCCGTTTCCACACGAGCAGATCCTGTTTTTGTGATTCCCTGTGAACTGAAAGTGAAGAAGCCAAACGTCTCGAAGGATCTGGAGTGTTTTGTTTGCACTGAGTTAAAGCTCGTGTCTGTAAATCCAACACGAGTCGGGAACAAATATAGTTTGGGTATTTTTCCTTTAATTTCGTTGAATATTTTGTGTTATTTTTTTTGCAATGCAGACGATAATCAAAAGCATTGGCGGCTTTTTTGTGTTGTGACTCTTCAATCCGCCACCAGAGGGCGCCCTGGGACTTCTAACCAATCACCAACCCCCGACGGAGAGAGAGCCCTGTGCTCTGTTTAATTTATATGAAAATAAACTAATTAGACGTGTTTTTGAATGTTTTTCTGTTGTAATAGTTTTGTATCGAATGAAAAGCTCTGTTTTTTTAAATTACCAATCAGACCGAGGCCAGAAATATGCAAAACAAACAAAATGGAGGACGGGAGGCGGAGTCTAAGCGGCTTCATATCATTGTTCTAATCCTTTAAATGTTTCACTGACTCCTGCGTGGATCCACAGGGAGAACAATCAGACCGTATGGTTCTATGTCCTGCTCTATGACGTCACTGTGCTCCTCCCACTGCCATGTCCCGCCCCCTCGCCCCGGGACGCCTGTCAATCATCCTCTGATGTTTGTGAATCAGGTTTAATTCATTCTTTATTTATTTTGATTTGAACAAAAAGATCTGTTTGTGTTGAATAAAACTGAGATTGTTGATGTTCACTGAGTCTGTTCATGACGAGACACACATTTATAAACACACACACACATTTATAAACACACACACACACATTTATGAACACACACATTTATAAACACACACACACACACACATTTATGAACACACACATTTATAAACACACACACACACATTTATAACCAAACACACACATTTAAAAAAAAAACACACACACACATTTATAAACACACACACACACATTTATAACCAAGCACACACATTTAAAAAAAAAACACACACACATTTATAAACACTGATGGCACAAAACGTTTTATCGAATACACATTTAATCAGGAATATTACACAAGTTTACAGCCAAAAAATGGTCAGGGGTTTCTCAGCTGATTCAGACTAATGTTGGTGTTCTGAGTCTGAATATCACATGCATGTTGCTCTATCAGGTCAACTTTGTGAGATACAGCCATAGTGTTACGGATTATGTCTGCGTTATTATGAATTCTTCTTATCAAATTTGATGGAGTAAATACAATACAATACAATGTATTCTTGTATAGCCCTAGGTCACAACAGAAGTCATCTCAGAGACTTAACAAAACCATTGAAATCACCAACACAGGTCAGAGAATCAACAGTTAAAATACATGGAGAATATAAAGCACACACAGAAGTGTCCATACATGTTGTAGAATGCTAAAGTGTCCTGATCATCACCAATCCTTTCTGTTGGACACTAACTGTCCAACAAGACAAAATGTTGTAAAATGTAAATAAAAACTGATTGACTTTGGATACGTTGACTTTTATTTCTTGAGGAAAACGGAAAAAACGTCAAGGGTTTCTCAGCTGATGATCCGCAGAAATTTGTTTTTTATGCAAAATCAATGCAAAAAATATTTCTGTAGCAAAAAATCCTGACCTGATTGAGCAAAACCAAGGTCATTTTCTAACTCAGAGCATCAACATTAGTCTAATTCAGCTGAAAACCCTGGACTATTTTCAAAACATATTTTTTTGTTACCCAGTGTTATAGACAAAGAAGATATTTTAAATGTTGGTAGTTTTCCCGAGACATTAGGCTTTAAAATGAAGTATAACATGCCATCATTGTAATCATTGTAAATCCCAACAGACAAGGTTCTTGTTGCAGAGAGCAATTTTTATTCAACCGCTATATTCCACACCAGGAAGAGAGAAGCCCACTCACGCTCCCGCAGTAGTGACGCAGTAGAACCCGTGACAGAACGTAACATGTTAACAATCTCCCCCTTTCTTTAAATAAAAAAAAACATTTAAGTGTGCTTGAGAGACATACACACATCCAGAACAATGTACACAACAAAACAACAACAGTGCTAAGAGCCTGTGTAAACAGAAAAAGAAATTACAGCGACCATGAGCCCTCGTCTAAGGCTTTAAGAAGCATAAGTGGTGAAGCTCCCTTTTTGGTTAAACAATCAGCAAGTTGTGACTTTGCCTCTGACCAACAGATCTGCCTGATTTTATTTGCATGTAGTAGCTCTTTAATGCTACTTATTTCTAGTCTCAGTCTCTTCTCTGTGACCTGCTTTGTGGACTGAAGAGCATCAAACAGTGAATGGTTATCAGTAACACAAACAAGAGGAAGAGCATTCATGTTAGCATTACCAATAGTAAGCTCTGAAAATAATGTGGCCAGAAACATAGCGTTGTCTATGCCATCTGCCATAGCGAGAGTTTCTCCTGCCAAAGTGCTTCTTACCACACGCCTGATCTTCTTAGACTGCCCAAACAAAAGGGGAAAACGTGCCTCCTTTACCCATAAGCGCAATTAAAGTCCCTCCTTGAGTTGCACCATCTGGAAAATTGCCAAGTGAAGCATCACTGAAGACCACAAGACTCAGATCATCTTTGTTTCCTAAAGGCTGAAACTTAAGTGTGACCTTCTCTGACTTAAGTTTACGGATTACCTTGTTCACTTCATGTAAGGATTGGACAGTTGCATTTGTAATGTTAGTTGCTAGGCTACATGTGTCAAACATTACATCTGGCCTTGTTTGTTTAGCAACCCACAGAATCTGTCCTGTTTTAGACCTGAGCTGCTCTTTCTCTGTCTCATTTAAAGGAGCAGCCCTCTGCACTGCCCGAGCTGCCTTTAACGACACTGGTTGGAGATTTTCAATGTAACTGTTGCCAATGTACCAATATATTGTCTCCAATTGTGACAATATCCATACCTACATAAGAAAAATTCTCATGTTCTTCACGCCCCACTTGAAAGGTAGACTTTACCACAGGAATCACTTTTGTCACAAACTGCTCAGATCCTGCCCAAAGGAAGTCATCTACGTGACATGACAGTACACCAATGACCTCAGAATTTTCCAGAAAAACACAGCTGGATCCACCTGAGACATTTTTCCACCTGTGTTCAGCATCAGTTCTTTGACCTTGTTGTACCAGTAGAGAGAAGCGTCTGCAAGTCCATATACACATTTCTTTAGTTTCCACAGTACATTGTCTCCTTCAGCCTCAGGTGGGGGCCGAATGTAAACATCTCTCGAGAGTTCCATTCCCTGTAAAAAGGCAGACTTAATATCCATAGAGTGATGTCATTCTGAGAGACTCTGATGCACATGTTGGGGAATCTTTCTGTAAACAACTATTATTTACCTCTTCAAAACCCCTCGCTACAAGCCGTGCTTTAGGGACAATACCACTCTGTGTTTCTTTGAGTGTACAGACCCATCTAGTAGACACACATTTTTGACCTTTGTCTGCTACCTTCTCAAAAACATCATTGTTTTGCCAATTCTCTATCTCTAGCTGTTTGGCACTATCAAAAGAGATATCTTTGACAATAAGAACATCAGCCTCTGCATTTTCCGGCTCAAAGTGAAGGTTATCAACATCTGACATATCTAATGCTAGTTTTTGTCCCTCACTACCATCAGGCTCAAGATATTGTACCAGTCTTTGTATTGCCCTTTTGATTTTCCTGCTCTCCCTAAAACTTTGCCAGTGTGCTCAATACCATCTCAGTCTGTAAATGTGACTGTTTGGCCAGTTTTCAGTTTTAAATCAGCAGTTCCATTACTTTCTGCATCAGGAGGCGTTACATTGGTTTCTGTAGGGTTCTCATCTACATCATTCTCACTATAATCAACGATTTGATCTACTCCATGTATACTTTGTGCTTCTGACACACCAGTATGTACTATTTTTTTATTTTTTGTAATGTTTTCGGTAGCATTTTCTATTGTATCTGCATCAGGTGTATTTACCTTACTCAACCTAGATTGATGCACACGTACTAGGATTCCCCCATGTCTGATAAATACTACAGACCCATCCTGCCCAATAACTACACCTGGGCCTTTCCATTCTGTACTGTCAGCTCTTTTGTAGTACACTCTGTCTCCGGTCTCATATTTTTCATCTGTAGGCAGTCTTCCTGAAGATGTGAGACAGGCCTCCTCTCTGACAATGTTTAAAACCAGGTTAAAGACAGTTCTGTTTAGCTGTGCATACAACTGAGGGATTTTATATTTGTATCTTTCTTTTTAATGTTCTGTGATTATTTATGATTTTAATGCTTTCTTGTTTTGTTCAGCACTTTGAATTGCCTTGTGTATGAATTGTGCTATATAAATAAACTTGCCTTGCCTTGCCTTGCCTAGGCCTAAGCTGCTTTCTGATTGCCCTCCTGATTCGTTCTGAACATTCAACCTCTGTGAAAGCTTTTCTAGAGGCATGCAATGCCGCTATGTGCTGCCCTACTCCGGTGCTCACAGTAGTACCTTCTAGAGCGGGTAGTTTATCAATCAAAACAGAAGGAAGATTGGGATTTTGACCAAACACAAGTTGGTGTGGGCTGTAACCATGCCCATTGAGCATACTGTTTGGCCATAAGAGCCCAATCTAAAGCTGTTTGCCACCCACACACATTTTCCCTTTTCACCTTTAGAAGGATTTCAGTTAGTGTCATGTTGTGTCTCTCCAACAGTCCGTTGCTCCAGGGACTGTATCCAGCTGTTGTCTTAGTCTCAATATTGAAGTTCTCTGCCATGTCTCGTATCTCCGCATTGTTAAACTCCCCGCCGTTGTCTGTGTAGATCCGTTTTGGTGCGCCGTGGACACTTATCCACGAGTGAATGAACGAGTTGACTATCTCCGAAGGTTTCTTGGTCCTCACAATGTTTCCAGCGCTGAAACGTGTAAAATGATCGATCATGTGGAGGTACCATACGCCAGGCTCCAGCTCATGAAGATCCATAGCCACTGTCTCATTGTACTGTGAGGCTAATGGCAGACCAACAGCAGGCTTTGGCTTGGACCTGCTGTATCTTTGGCAGATCTCACAGTCACGAATGATCTCCTGCAGGAATGATGGGGCAGTCTTGATCAGTGTTTCCAGAGCTTTGAATGAGCTTCTGAAGTCTTTCTGCAGATGCGTGGCTAAACTGCTTGTGAAGTTTCAGAAGAACTTTACGCTTTTCTTTAGTGGACATTTCTCCAGTGACAACTAGGACTTCACTTTCATTACAGCTCACTTCAGCATGTTCATCTCTAATGTCCACGCAATAGTGTCCTGAACTTGTAAGCTCCAGAGGCACAGTCTGCTTAAACATGACAACTCTGTCATTCTCCATGTCTAAAATAGTTCCTGCTCTTTTCAGGGACGTTTTGCTCAACAACAGGGGAATATCAGCTGGGACAACTTCAGTTTCAATGTGGCACTTTGTCTGTCCAATCTTTGCAGGAAGTTTCACTCTTCTGCTAGAGTACACAACTTCACCATCTCCAAATCTGAACGGACGGCTGCTAGGATGTTCTGTTTTTAGCAGTTTGTTGATTTGGCGTTTGTTAAGACCCTTAGCATAACTGTTCAGCCACTTCTGACCACAAACGGTACGTGTACAAGCAGTGTCAATAATAGCAGATCCTAAAGACTCAGTTAGGAATATTTCTGACTCTGTCATAGCTGCTTTAGTGAACAGAGTGATGTTACATTCTTCAACACTTTCATCTTCCGTTAACTTAACGTCATTTCTGCGATGGGGACAGTCTTTAGCCCAATGATAGGTACTCTGACACACGGCGCATCTCGTCCGCTTACCGTACTTGTCAAATGGATTCGTTCCTTGCTGCTGCCGCTGATATCCGCTCTGGGACGAGCCATTGCTACGTTTGAATTTCACATTGGGCCGTTGCTCCGTGAAAAATGCACCATGTTGAATCTCCTCGATGGCGTTTGTCCCACATGCTGTTTTTCCTCCGAATATGCGTTTTAATGCGGACTTCATTGATGCAAAAGTCAGCTCCGTACACGCAGTCAATGCCAGCTGTCTGCTTTTCTCCTCCAGACATGCCGTGTCCAGGAACTTGAAAGCCAGTACAGCGTCAGGAAGGGTCATGTTGTACTTTTTCATGCGGTTATATCGCTGTTCAAAGTCAATGATGTAGTCACAAAGCACTGCCTTTAGTGATCGAGTCAAAATGAGAGTTCAATTTGGAGAGACGAGAAACAAGAAGCTTTTGAGTATTTAATTGGGAGGAGGTTTGGCGCCCTAGGCCCCGGTGCGGCCTTCAGATCGGAGGGGCTCTGCGATGGAGCGTGCCAATCCCCCGGGACCTAGGCACTGGTGGCGGCATTTGGCAGCGGGAAGCAGA